GAAAGATTTTAAAATATGCTAAGAGTCGACCTTGGATTTTGGATACCAGATTGATGAGTGGGGTTGTAGGATTTTCATCAACTAATCAAGTAAGTGGAAGTGATGGCTGGCTGCATATTATTAGTATATTTAAATCCCAATTAAAGGAATCCCCTACCCCACATCATTAATTAATCAATGATCAATATCTTCGCAAATGCCAAATACATTAAATTAAGATAATAACTAGTTGGGAAGTTGTTCAATGCCGTAATGTCGAACCCTTCTTGTTTTTTTTTTGTTTTAAAAATAATTATCATAATGATGTGCTAGAATGCATGTGTCAGCAGAACGTGCATGCAACATTCAAAAGCATAAAAACAGTAGCAAATAAAAGAAGAAAAAGAAGAAAAAGCTTGCCCACATTAATTAGCTGCCTTTTCTGCTTTGTCTAATTATAAGCTTTTTTATCCTTACAATTCAACTATGTCCATGGCTTTCCTTCGAATTAACTACTCCAACTGCGTTCTACTGTCCCATCAATTTCGAGCCTTTTCTTCCCCTCTTATCTTTCAAGGAGAAATCTTTCTTAAGGGAAAATGAGCAATTTTCCACCTAATTAAGTATTTGTTGATTTAAGTACATAGCGTTCTCGGTTTATATATTGTAGTTCGTTCGTAGCAATGCATGTTAGTTACTACTACCATAAACTTGGAATTTCTCATTTGAATATGCATCCCGCGGTAGTCATTTTTTTTTTTTTCTCTTTTTAAGGGAAAAAAAAAGGGTTTAACATTTTAGCAAGACAACTACAACTGAATCCGGGCATATAGAGATTAAAGATTTGCCAGGAAATTGAGATGATAATGAGTGAGGGAGAGCATTTTTGGGATTTATTTATTGTAGCAACCTCTGGCGAGTCCATATCCATCACCGAGACTAGACGGCCCATCAACCGGAGAAAGAGTCCAACCAGGACTCTTGAGGCGGTTTAAATTCCCGAAACCTAATAAGATTCAGGGATTGTCCAGGTATTCTCATACCTATAAATAGGGTAGCTCACACCACAATACAGGGACGCAATCTATAACTTTACATACTACATACCTAAGCCTTCCAGCAACCCTTTTACTGACTTAAGCATCGGAGTGTCTACCATCGGGAGACCCTGAGGCCTGTTTTGCAGGAAATTCTAGCCGGAATTCCACCGTTTGACCGGCGGTAAGAAACCGAGCATCGCCAACCTCCACTTTTTACCTAAATTATTTGTCCAATCAAAGATCAAACCAGCGTCGAGGCTTGGAGCATTATATGCCATGACTTCAACATCATCAATCCTCTTGGTTGATTTTCTTCTAATTGACAGGCAAATCTAATTAACCGCTACTTACATCTAGGGTTTGCATTTTCCTCATCAATAATATTGTTGCCGCTTTACATCAAGGGTTTGCATTTTCCTCATCAATAATGTAAACAAGACTAGATACTACTTCGTATCATCATAGGAAAAAAGGATCACTGAATTAATATTGATTTCAGTTTCCACTCCCTAGGGATTCTCCAATCTCGATTTTGGACGAGACCACCCAAGGATAGATAACCTTATAACACAAGATTAATTAGTGAAAGTGGAATCGATTGTCGCCTTGTCGGCTTGTAATTTTATTTGTTTCGTTGAGGACTTTTAAAAATTCTTTTATTTTCCATTCTTTTCTTGACCTCTGCTACACCAAAATCTTCAAAAAAATCATTAAATACTAGTATCTATCATTTGATTTTATAAAAGACCTGTCTTTTTCATTCCACATTTACTATGTGTCTACGTCAGCCACACAATTTTCAAGAGTACAAAAACTTAAGTCCATGGGATCCAGTAACGTACGTAATTCTATGGTAAATGGTCAACTTGGAAGTTTTGTCAACGAAGGAAACTTTCCTTTTTCTGTCCGTACCTGATAACATGAAAAACAATGTCAATCTTCAGTTTCTTCAGTAGAGTTCGTTCAACCTGCGCAGTTGGACAGATGAGAGCCTATAGTCCTGAATATTCTCAAGACCCTGAAGTTAGAAATGCTTTTGGAAACTGCCAGGAAGGTTTCTAGGGTTGACCCTTACTTTATTACATTGTGCAAAAGTTGTGGAAAAAAATCAATGCTTGGCAAATACAATTATACAGATTCAACTAACAAACAATTTGAGAATAGTTTTTTTCATATATAAATAGTGTGGTAAAATTGTAATTAGTAAACTTCCACGATCCAGGTCCGAATCTCATTTAGGTATGTAGGATTGTAAAAAAGATTGAATTGAAAATCTACGAATCAATATTCAATAGCTATAGTCTTCCAATGGTAATTAAACTAAGAAAATGGGAGTCAACTGTGGTTGCAAATTCAAGTTGCTTGATGGCATACCGGAATTGTTTGTCGCACAAAAGAAAAAGGTTTTCCAGTAGACTGGTAGACCTACAAAATATAGGGCGTGCTTTAGTAGCTAGGTTAATTATAAAATTCTTAATAGCTTTGTTTGTTAGTTGTCAAAACAATTTGTTTTGTTGAATCATTAACGCAGTTTAAGAATAGCTTATTCATACGAGACTCATGAGCAACTCCAGTGTCAAGTATGTTGGGTAAAAACCTATTCTCCCGAAATTTGTTTATGATCTCGAAGATGAAAAATTATTGGGTACAGCTGTTGTATCCTGATTTTTAGTGTAGCAAGTACTAGCACCCCCTATTTTGGTGGTATAACTTCCGTAGAAATTATCTCCCTCCCCCAAAATTACGACTTTACCCTATTATTGTGTCTGACTGCACAATCTTACGCGGTACAGCAGTTGCACTGAATAATTTCTCCTCGAAGATGAAGATAAGGATTTTTTTTTTCATAACTTTCTAAAAAGTCCAGATATATGGGCAACAAGAGCAATTTAAACTCACACGGGACACTATATTCAAGTAGAGCTATGTCCAGTAATATACGGATTTTTTCACATCTTTATAATTTATTTAATAACAACAGCCATTTAACACGTCTCTTAATTTTGGGAGACAAAAAGAGTAAAATAAAGGTATTAATGATATCAATTTCCTGGCAATTGCCAAATCTAACTAGCAATAAGCTATAAAATAGGAGCTACAGTTGTGAAGGAAGTTGGCCAATGTCGAGATGGATGTCGACCTCTTTTGATATTAGAACTACTATGTCCACTGCATGTTTGAGCAACGCTGATACTTCAAAAAGAAATACTCAATTTACCCTACAAAAATAATGTACAATGAATTTTAAAATTTATCTTTACAAATAGTACAAATATCAAAACTCAATGTAAATTATTTAATTTTTGTTGAGACAGAAGAAGTATATATTATTCCCCAACAATAATACCACACAACTGTACGTTGTTGTTTTTTTTTTGTGTGTGTGTTCTTTTCCCAGATTAATCCATAATTTTGCCTGCAGTCATACATAAATGACTTTTACCGTGCGTTGATCACCTCACATGGCATGGATTGAGTAGCTTATGATGACAAGATCCTTGTAGGTAGGGGCGGCCGAAGGCCAAGTTCGAAATTCTATTAATTGCTGCTTCATTCTTATTTTTATTTTTTTTATTCTTTTGTCTGGAAATCGCACCTTAATTTAGATCGGAGGTAGTACATATTAATTGAGGATTATAATGTTAGAAAAGACTTCAATCTCGTACACACTTGTTGCTCGGCACATTTGGTTAACTTCACCCGACGCAAGAGCCCGTCCCGTATGGCCGTATCAGCGATCATGAACAACTAGGTGGTACATCTATTAATTTGAAAACTGGGGAGTGCCACTTTGACCGAAGAATTATATATTGGCTTTTGGACTGGTGTATGAAACTTGTGGCCGACATGCCACATGCTAAATTCAGGGCACCTCTTATAAATGTCCAAAGCATCGATCGAGTGCATATGTGAGGTACTACTACTACTACTTTCTTTTTGTAATTTTGTAAACATTTTTGGAGTCGACGAAGTCAACAAGAGAATGGAGAAATAATTTAAAAGGGCGTCAGGCCTTTCTGGAAATTATTAACACCGGCTGATATCTTTACACAAAAGGGCACCTTAATTTTTATTTTATTTTTTTGTCCGTGGCAAAAATTTTCCGGCTTCATTTCCGACTGATAGCTGTACGCCCGTTAATTCCGATTGAGGATTGCTCGACTTTGATTTTTCCGGCCAAGGTCTGCTTGACTGTAATTCAGGCCGAGGATAGCTCACTCTGATACCTATCTTGTCAGATTCGGGGAGGATCTTTTCTAATTTTTTGGTTTTTCTTCCCAGATTAATCCATGATTTTGGCTGCAGTCATACATAAATGACTTCGAACAATGCGACTAAAAAGCAAGAGAAACAATTTTTCTTTTTTCATATTTGCAGAGTTTCCACCATCGACAACAGTGACTAATTCCCATCGCTGAATTGTAGGCACTTTGATGGGTGCGACAGCTGGCCAAAATATTTAAGGTTGTTTCATGCCCATGACGAGGTTCGAACCCTCGACCTATGGTTAAGAGTGGAGAAATCCCTTCTATTCCACCACAATCGCTTTGGTTAACACAAAAAGCATTTGAATGTTCTTTGCTTTCTATATTAATTGTTCTCTTGTGATCATCTAGAAATATTTGTATTAAAAATAATAAAAAAATCAAAAAAAAAAAATCTAGAACGAGTAGCACTATGTTTAATTATTTATATGATGACAATATCCTTATAGGTGCCGGCCAAGGACAAAATCCTTAATTTTTTCTAAGAAAGTAAGAGTAACATTTAAGCCTTATTATCTTGATTAAAATCTGCGGGAACCGGCCCAAATGCACGAAATTAAGGAGGGTGGTTAGACTTTTTTCCGAATGCTGAAGGTTGGAGTTGTGAGCTTTGATATTAAGGGTGTGGTAGTTATTACTGATTTATGCTGAAGTTCAGCAAAATGCAGAGCTCGATTAACCTAATTAACCACCGACAATAGGAGAGAGGCACGAGGGAAGATGATCATGTGATAATAAGCTATCTGAAATTGGGAAATTTTATTCACTAATAGTATCTGTGAGTGGATCTTCAATTGTTCATGTTGTCACGAAGAGCCATGAATCCGCTACTAACTACTACTAGGAAGCAGCATATCATCATCAGAAACCTCTCTCAATTGCTAGCAAAACCCTTAATCTCAACTCGGGAAACAATTCTCCTTGGCCCACCACAAATCTACGCCGCTGTAACGGCGCCCTCCACCACCACCACCAACGTCAAAGCTGACCCGTTCATGGATCTGATGACGGCCAGTTACAACAATGCCGCCGGCCACATGAATCTCCAAAACCCAACATCATCAAGAATGGGTTTCACTGAAAACCGTTCCCCAACTTTGCTCTCCAGTGGAGACCCTTGCTTGGACTTTTTCTTCCACGTGGTCCCCGATACGCCTCGAGAAACCCTAATTCAAGCCTCCAACTCGCCTGGAATGCCAATCCGTCGACCACCCTCAAGCTCATATGCAATCTCCGCAGCGTAAGGGGTGCCGGCAAATCTGATAAGGAAGGCTACTACACCGCCGCACTGTGGCTTCATCAACACCACCCTAAAACCCTAGCGTCCAACGTGGCATCCATGGCCGGTTTTGGCTACTTTAAGGACTTCCCCGAGATTCTTCACCGGCTCTTGGAAGGACCTGATGTGCGCCGAATCGAAAAAGAAGACCACATGAGAAAGAAGAAGAGCATGAGAAAGATTAAGAGCCTTATGATGATCAGGTCACCCTTCAGGATGAGAATAGTAAAAGAGATATCCCAACCTCCTCTAGATCCGCGAGGATACAGGCCAACTTAAGAGCTCAGGCGATTAAGAAACAGGATGCTAGGATCCAAAGGCATGCCAAGCAGATCGAAAAGGCCAAGAAGGCCGTTGAAAGATATGGGAGCGACCCGGATTACAAATTCTTGCACCAACGGGTGTCTGATGTCTTTGCAAAGTCCTTAAAGAGAGACATGAAATTCTTGAACTCGGGGCGCGCGCCTGAGGAAGATTAGTCTTGTGGCAAAGTGGTGTCCCTCGTTGGATTACATGTTCGATAAATCAAACCTTTTATGCGAAAGCATTGCCCGAAAGGTTTTCCCAAGGGAGGCCTATCCTGAGTACCAGGAGATTGAGGATGCACATTATGCCTATCGCGTCAGGGATTGATTGAGGAAGCAAGTGTTGGTTCCATTACGGAAGGCTTTGCAGCTACCGGAGGTCTACATTGGCGCCAACGACTGGGCCAATATTCCTTACCACAGGGTGGCTTCAGTGGCTATGAAATTCTACAAGGAAAAGTTTCTGTTTCACGATAAGGAAAGATTCCAAGAGTACCTGAACCATGTGAAAGTAGGCAAGGCTAAAATTGCTGCAGGTGCTTTGCTACCACACGAACTCATTGCATCAATGAATATGTATGGTGGTGCAAGTCAAGTTGCTGAGCTTCAATGGCAAAGAACGGTGGAGGATGACTTGGCCAAGAATGGTAAATTGAAAAACTGTCTCACAATCTCTGATGTTTCCGCCAGCATGATTGGACTACCAATGGAGGTGTCCATGGCCCTGGGTGTTTTGGTCTCTGAACTGAGCGACGAGCCATGTAAAGGAAATCTCATCACTTTCAGCGAAAACCCGACATTCAGAGAGTTCGAGGAAACAGTTAGGAAACCCAGACAGATTTCGTGAGGAATATGGAATGGGGTTTTAACACTGATTTTCAGAAGGTCTTTGATCTGATACTGCAAGAGGCTGTGCAGGGAAATCAACTGTTTCTGGAAGAAAATGGAGAAATGAACCCTGTGTCTGTGATGAAGGCTGCAATTACTGGTAAAGCCTATGAGAAACTAGTCGTAGTTGATTAAATCTCTAATTCAGTAATTCACTTCCTTATGTAATGAGGATTGATTCTGGGGAAAGAGTATTGGAATGTTAACAAATGCAGAAATGGTGAACAAAAATCTGTAAAAAGGCACATCACCAATCCATGAATCTTTTAACTACTAGTAGTTAAACAGGTTTGATGCAAAACCACATGACCAATAAGCATTAGTATCTTATTTTTATTTTTATTTTATTTTGAAAATGGAATAAGCATCAGTTGAAATCATTCTCATTCTATAATTTCTGCAAAAATAATCCTGTATTCTCATTCCGTTGGTTTTCTGTTTTTGCCGAACTAGTCACGCATTTGGTTCACAAAGGAAATGAAAGTATCATACAAAAAAAAAATACTTATGTACGTACTTGGACAGCTAAACTGATTCACATGAATCCAAGAGAGGGATCCCCAGCAAGATGCTGGATGCTCAGATCTCTCAAAGACGAATCCAACTGAGCTGCTTCAGACTCGCGCATTTGCATTAGCCTGCCTCGCACATTTCGCAACAAAGAGCTGCTTATAACACTACATATTCTTTCACTAAATGATGGATCCTCAGCAAACCTCATGAGGGCTTCCGCAGCATTATCAATCATTTCCGGAGACTCGGTTTCCAACAACTGGGTAAGGAGTGGAATTGCTCCAGAATCAGCAAGGGCGTGTCGCGCTGCCTCTTCATAACTCAATTGAGCAACTGCGCCAGAAACCTTTTCCTTAATATCCTCGGTACCATCCCTTAGAAGCTCAACTAAAATCGGGATTGCACCGGAGTTCTGCATTACAGATGTCAAATGCTTATAACTGGCAAGATCCCATATAATATCTGCAGCGGTAGCCTTAGCTTCATTATTACTTCCTCTTAGTATTCTAACCAAGTGCTGAAATATTTCAACCGCGTTTTCTTCTACCACAGCAAGTATGCAGAAGACATCCTCGACGATCTCCTTACCCATTGGCTCTTCACATCCCTCAAGAATCTCGGCAAAAATTGGGATGGCCCCAGCTTGAGCTACGGGTCTAATATGATCTACATGGGATGAGATTACACCAATTGCGTTACTAGCAACCAGTTTAACTGAGGTATCCCCATCCTGAATTAAAGCCAAGAGTGCTTCCAGCGCACCAAAACGAACAAGAGACCCCCTAGCTTGCTTGACCAATCCAAGTAATCCTATTGCTTGAGCAGCTCTAGTTCTAGAAATCATGCTGCCACATCGTACTGACTCAACAAGATAACCAACACGTCCGGAATTGAAAATGACTCGTCTTGCCTCTCTCAAAAAAGACAATGCACTTAAGATCTCTAAAAGAGGCCTCCTAATTCCACTAGAGCTAGAATCCAACATACGAAGAATAATTATCAATCCACCATCTCTAGCCACAGTCAGGCGATTACCATCACTAAACGTAACAAGATTCCGAAGGCATTTCAATATAACCTCTAGAAGACGGCCTTCTGAAGTTTGTAATAAGCTCAACAAAGGAGGTATTGCACCACACTGGCCGATAATTACTGCCAATCTCCCTTCCCCTTGGAAAGCCACGCGTTTTAAGCAATAGGCAGCCGCTTCCTGGATAGATGGACTTTGATTATCAAATGGCCTGCTCAGCAGCTCAACGAGGACTGGCACCGCAGAAGCTAAGATACTTTCAGGTGCAAGTTTAGACATATGTCCTAGCTTCATTGTGACTTGCACACGTAAAGAATCATCATTACCAGCCATTATAGTTTCATATCGATGAAACATTTTGTCCCAATTAATGCTTCTTGTCTCCCATGTGCCCATTTTCATTCACCAAAAATAAATGGCTGGAAACGAGTGAACAATGAAAGATTAGCAAGAGGAATTTCCACACCCAATGGTCGAAAGGTTTTTACACATTGAAATCCTGCATACATCTTTCACGCCAACTTTCATTTTTCCCTTTTAACCTTTTTTGGGTTATAAATAAACAATCCGAATTAGCCAAATTAGCAAAGAAAGATGGGTCATTTATGTACAAAATCATCACTTCCATAAAGTTCTTACCCACCGAAAACGAACAAACAGAACTTAATTTATCAAAAGACAACCGATTAACAACCTAAGTCAAAGGAGCAACAAAAACCTAGATCAAATAGGAACTATTCATGGGTTCCTCCACAGGGATTAATACTGTTCCTCTAATATGGTTTGTGATCGTATTGACTAAACCGAAGCATTCCAACCAACAACGAAATTAAAACAAAAAGTAGGAAATAAAGTTTAGTAAACTTGCCTTATGAGAGACGGCAGAGACCGATTTAAAAGATAAACCAACTAAATCAACTGATTCATGAGTAAGACTTGAACCATCTTCGTCCAGGTTCCAAATTTCATCTCCGTTTTCTGCTTCTTTCCACTTTCGATGTGTTCTTTTTCTTCTTTGACTTTCCCCTTTTATTTTTTTCTGGTTTTTTTTTTTATTTGATGTAATAATGATAATAATAATAATAATAATAATAATAATAATAATAATTTATGTTAGATGAACAACGTTGACCAGTCAGAACGGGCTTTGACTTGAAATTGAGTTGTGGGCTTAGAACTTGAACTGTAATTTACCGTTAATGGAAAAAGTCCACAACTCAATTGGGCTTTTATCAGATAACCCACTAAATTTGAAGCAGATTCATTCTAGATCTCACAAACGGGAAAAATTTGTAAAATTATAAAAAGATTAGTGCTATGGTTTGTGACATTATTTTTCAGATTAGTTAACGAAGGAGCAATGTTTTCACGATAAGTATTATTAGACTTTACTACTTTATACGTCATTTCTGTTAGGCTTTTTTCCAACAACGTCATACTGCATATGGGTCAGATCATTTTCTTAATTCTTTGGTATCAATTTTATGTAGTAATTTATTATGTATTTAGTGAGGGGGAAAACAACCTGTTTAGAACTTTTGATTGCAAAAAGTCTTTCTTGACTGTTAACAATTCAACTGCTTAAATATGCCTGTTTTAATTTCGTTGATGTGTGTTTGTGTGTTTTATTTTTGGCGGAAAAAAAAAAAAAAAAGAGGTGTGTATGGCTGTCCTTCATTTGTAAAGTGTAGCTACCAATATCTCAAATCATATGCATGAAAAGGATATAGTCACGTTCTCTATTGGGCCATAATGGACCACACAAACTTCATAATGGACCACACAACCGTTGGTCTGCAAAACCAATCCTTCTCCCCCCTCAAAGAATGAGATGAAATCTCCAAGATTATCCAATTTCTTTGTCTACAATGTGATATCGGCAGAGACTCTTCGACAATTATATTTGTAGGTGAAATATTATTTTTTTTAAAAATAAATTTTAAAAATGGGTGGTTCATTACGGACATAATGTAACAGTGACTTCATATGCGTTTGGTTTGTCCGGAATGGAGTGACAATGAATGAGAATTGGTATGGTTAGGCCCACTCTCAAAGGTTTGCCCCCATGTGAATGACTCCAATTAGGGAACTTTCTGATTCTCAAATTATGTCGTCCGCAATCAATTTTTAATACAAGTGTTTTATTACTTACCTATTTATTCACCTGCATCCCAATTATGGCAACGTACAATCATTCCCATCTGTCAACTTGTCTGTTTTCTTTCTGCTTTCGTTATTTCTTTCTTTCCCCAAATTCGAAGAAACATTTTAAATCTTATTAATAAACACTATTGGACCATACGAGATAACTATATTCTCACCCTTCTATTTTTTTTAAGTCGGAAATTAACATTAAAATTAGTTCGAATTTATGTTTTATACTATATGAATAAAATTGGAGGACAAAAATGATATTAGTAATAATAGGTTTCATATCCTACGTGTCTTTTTCTTTTCTTTCTTTTTTTAGTAAATATGTTGCGTCTTCCAATTTACTATAAAAACTCATCGTATAGACTTTTAAGCTTAAGCGCAAACATGATGGATAAAAAACCTTGAAGTGGACCTACGGGTGCAATAATTATTGAGACCCACACCCATTAATTTAAATAGGAGCATTACCTAGTTTATTTCATTGTATAAACTTTTCAGCTCGCTTAGCATACGCTAATACGTACAAATGACATATAATCAACACTTCCCGCGTCCACCATGTCTCCAAATTATTCTCTGTAAATCCGTATGAATGGAATCGTACAACAGATTCCATCATTGTACATTTAATCGTGAAATTGATCACTTGAACGCTCAATTCTTATTGTAAATACGAAATATAATATTTTGTAGAAAATAAATTTTAATTGATATTTCTCATCTTAATCAAGGAATGATGTATCTATACCAGTTACAAGTCACGCAAAATAGTATCCTCCGTTAATAATACTATCAACTTTTTCGATGAAATTCCATTTCTTTGGTAATAGGTACTTCCAAGATACTTACTACTCACCAATAATAGGTGTCATTAAACAAAATCATTAGAATTATTTTGGAATTGACTTTTTTCTCTTCCGCATGATCTTGGTTGAAAAGCTGAGTCGGATAAGTGAAAAAAGAATATAAGGTTTATCCAAAAAACAGGTTGAAATCCAGTCTTTCTGACAGGTGATTCAAATTTCTGTGAGAGTAATCTGAGAATCTTTCAAAATTTATGATTTTGGGTGGCGTTGAAAGTCAACGTCTATGAGCAGGCCCACCAACAAAATAAGGGGCGACAATGTGTTTGAGTTCAGCACCAACTTTACGAAGCTACAGCCTTACTCCAACGGCCAGGATGGTTAAAGTTAAAACCACTTTGCACATGCCCCGGACTTACTACCTTTGACCTTCATTCTCTTGCTGGTGTTCATGAGATTGTCTTTATCTAAGTCCCAGAAAAAAAAACAAAAAAAGTATACTGTATTTATTGTCTTGACATCGTTTATAAATGTATATTTTCACTCTTATTTTTTTGTGACGGAAACGAACATTAAACTGATAAACATATACTGCTTGGGATGTTTGTTTTGACTAAGCTGTTTCTAATTTCGATGGATTTTCATGTCTAGTCACCAATTTTTATAATCTTTTTGTCTCGAAATAATTATATAATAGTTATGATTTCATTTATAATACAGATGAATACAGGAGCATTAGACTGCTGTTATTGGTCATGTTTATTTTTGTAAATCAAGTATCGAGAATATTTGCTCTCTAATAAAACGGGGGGACAATAGAGCCCAATGGGAGGAAGAAATTTTACTGGAAAGTTTGAAAGAAAAAAAATAATTTAATTAGGCTCATAATGTGTACGAAATATGCAAGCCAATTAATTTATAAAATCAAGGCTGTAAAGTGATTTTGATTTTGTGGTGATGCTAATCCCACTCGATGGTGCTTAAAGTACAACTTTAATTATTGGTAGATTGCTAATTTAGCCAATTAAATACCAAATTAAAAAAAAAAAAGAAAAAAAGAAGACAGTAGCTTTCTTGATGTAACACCATAATAAAAATAAAAGATGAAATTTGCACACACTATCCTTGGTCGTCGTCTAACTGGAATTGCATCATTTAATGACGAAAATTCATCAAAATAATTTCATATCAGATAGCCAATCCATCCCAGAATTGTTAATTCAGAACTTGGCCCCTTGCAGCTTTCTACATCTATATATACATACATATATATATATATATATATTGATAATTGAGGGGCCATAGGTTGAGACATTGATTGAGTTTTTATAAACTGATTGTTGTGGCGCATCGAATTTAATTTTCAAACCAGCAAATGATCTCTCATTGGGTTTCATGACTTTGTAGTGTGTATACATACAGTTGTACGTACTCCTACTACTTTCTTTTTTCTGTTTTTTTCTTCTTCATCTTTTTCCGTTCAACTCATTTTTTTTAGGAAAAGATAGTTGACTATATTAATGAGTTTAGTTTTTTTTTTTTTTTTTTTGATACACCAGGGAGTCAGGGACTATTCTAACTCATATTTACGTGCAAGTGAATGAAGTGATGAATGTAATCCAAGTCCCCCTACTCAGGGTATGATAATTTTTTTTTTAAAAAAAAAGGAAATATTAATGATGGGGTGTTAATGTTGTTTACGAGTTTTGCTGCTGCTCCACTGCATCTAATGATGCATGTCTAGCTCCCTTCCATCATAATTATCTATTTGATAATTGACTCATCACCCAAAAGGGCATAAGCAAGTATAAATTTACAACTAATAATAATAATAATAATTCACCAGCTATGGATATTGGTTTCATGTGATCTATAAATAATTAATGTTAGAGGTTTCCAGTCCAGGGGCTCCTCCTTTGTCCTTTGATGATCCGATGTTACGAACAATCACATACTCTTTTAATCAAAATAGTAGACTTTTCACCGAGTTAAATGTCTTAGTATAAGTCATATTTTCAAAAGATTGTTCGGTTATATATCATCTTGTGCCCAAGAGGTGCAACTTGCGTAGCTCAAAAATATCTTTCCGTGTTTTAATAAATTACGGGTTCGAATATGTTTTAAGTGAAAAATCACCGGATAAAATCATAAAAGAAAGATATAAGTATGTAAAATTTCCTATAGTTTTCTTGCACGAATTATTATTCTAAAAAATATCATTTCATGTATTGTTTTTCCTCATCATCCCTAAATAGAATATCATTTTTATTTATTTCTATCACATAATATTGACCTTTATCATTTCCATTTGAAATAATTGACGAGGATGCGATATATGGGTCTAATAGGGTTAGATTACGAAATTAAGGCCATGCTCGTTGATTGTAATTGACTTAAAAACTTTTAATGCCATGCTCGTAGATTCCAACGTTGGTGAATTTGTTACTATAGTTTTGTGAATAGAAGTAGATGAAGTATCATTTTTTGGTAAAAAAAAAAAACACACACACACCCCCCTTCAAGGGGTGAACCGGTAGGCAATATTTAAATATTAGGAAATAATAATAATTTTGTCATTACGTTTTTATCATTAGCGTTCAAAACCCAAACAATGAATGCTTCGTAGTTTTTAGTCGTGCATTATGTACAAGGAGTAAAGAAAAATAGGCACAGTCTTCAAGCTCTGTTTCATCAAGCTATGTTTCAATGATTCTTGTTTCCCATACTGAAAATTCAAATTTGAATCACTTCAAAGGTTACGGTTTGCTTGAATCAATCTACAATTACAGTTGCCATCAAAATTTAATCTTAATGACGGCATGTACGATAATGCATTTCATTGATCTACCTTATTATTGGAACATAAAACTACAAGAGAGTTTTCGTCGTCTCTCTTCCTTTTGCATGTTAGAAGTATAGATATTGTTGGATTTCGGAGTAGTTTATGATATTTGATGCTCTCTCCATTTCAAAATTATTATTCAGTTTGAATTTTCAGTTTTCGTGTAAATCAAACTAAAATAAAGATCCAAATTCAATAATAATTTCAGGACAGAACGTACACGTTGAAAGTAAGTGATAATAAGAACATATAATTTCAGATAGATTTTGATATGGTGTTGGCACCAAATAATTTTTGTGAATTGACTACCTAATCAAATAGTATAGTAGTATTTTAAAAATGTTTATGTAACGGTCCAGTTAGAGGAGGAGGAGGAGGAGGAACAGCACAAACAACACTCTGTCTGTACCCTACGTTACGTTCAAATCCGACATGTGTTGTTTTGACTTTTCCCCAAATTTCATCACATTGAACTTTCCGACTGATCTATCATCTGGTTTTTCCCCAGTATTCATTTTTATTTTTTTTTTCCCCTTTTTGATCAAGTATTATCCAAAACCATTTTATTACCCTAAGCATTACTGTAGAGGATTACTGTAGTCTAGAATCATTTATTGAAATAGTCATCATAATACCAAATTCGATGCTCATAATACTTTAATGATGTGTACAAAATTAGAACTAAAAAGAATATTTGTGAGTGACTCTGTAAGATACCAGAAAAATATTTTAGTAATAATAAAAATGTGGAGTTATATCTACTGGGGTTTCTCGCAGGGGTAGTATTGTAACATCGACCATTGTTCAAGCTGTCCCCAACTAATTTCGTAAATCTAGGAATATTTTTCTTTATTCCTGATTTCTTTTAAAATTTGTTAGCTGGAAAACCGTAACAAAATCCTCCCTTTTCTATTTTTTCTTCTTTCTGGAGTGGATACCTTTTTCACCCTGAGAAATGATTTTAAATTAAAGTAATACTAGTAGTAGTATTACCTTTTTCTTTTCTCTTTTTTTTTTTCTACCTCCTTTTCTTTTATTAATTCAATTCAATATATATATTAGTAGTACGTGTTTCGGAGGAAACAGGGTGGGGGTTTTTTTTTTTTATTTAAAAAAAAAAGGTTTTCGATCCTGTCATTTTGCTTTGTGTGGGAATAGTTGTAGCAGTTTTTTTATTAAATATATCATCATGGTGGTGGCTTTGGTTTGGTGGTGGGTTCAGTTTTCTTCTTTACTCTCTTTTTCTCTTCCTCTTCTCCCGAGAGAGGTGTAGAGAAGTAATAGTTTTTCTAGTACACACAACAAAAAAAGAAAGAAAAAAACATCAACAGATGGAGTGGAGTGAAGAGGCAAATTGTGAGTTTTTCTTTTGAGTTTGGTTCATGGGTTTGAAGCCCTTCTTTTCTGACAACTTGGTTATCCTTCTTAACTTCTTCGTACTGAAAAGAAAGATTTAAGATTTTCTGGGTATGTATAGTTTGTGATAAACCCTCTTGTTTGTTTTCCTTCTTGGGTGCTTAATCTTCACTCCAAAAATGGGGCTTTTTTTTGGTTTTCGGTTTGGGGAAAGAGGAAAATGAAACGTTTTTGGGCTTCAAAGTTTCAATCTTTGTCATGTTTGTTTCTCTTCAAGTACGTGCCGGTGAAATTTGAGAGACCCCTTTTTTTTTGTTCTCGTTTTGATTTTGTAACTTTCTTTTCTAATTTTTCAGAATTTTTTGGCAAACAGTTGAGTATGGCGTCAGTTCTGGACGGTTTTCTTTTATGCTCTGTTTCGTTTCAAATTCCCTTTTTCCCTGGGAACTGAGAGTTAGTGGGTTTTTTTTTTTTTCTATATTTGAGGATATACCATGTTACTAAATCATTATCTTTTGAATTTTGAACGTTTCAGAAAGATGATGTTTAAAGTTTAAAATGGGTAATGGACCGTGTTAATAGCTCTTTGAGTTCAAGAAAAACTCAACTTTGCAATCATTTAGTTTTAAGGGAATTCTCGTGTCCACAGTATTGATTTTTGTTTTTACCCTTTTTCACAGCTTCATCTCTGTTCCTTGGATGAACAGCTTTTCCGCAAATACTTGCTGTTTTTAGTGTAACCTTTTTTCTTTCTTCCTAATCTTCTGTATGTAACGGCTGTTGCGAGAATAATATGCAGTTTCCTTTTATTCTAGCACCGGGTAATTACAGCTGGAGAAATCATGTCACCTTTTTTGGTCATTTTTTCTGCAACAAAGATATAGTCTTGAAATGTTCCGGTTTAGTAACAAGTCTTGACTTTTATACTCTCTTCTCTTGCTTCCTTTTTGGGAGTTATCTTGAGGCTTCCTTTTGCTAATTTTTCCTCATATGGTTGGGAATCTAGTTGTAAGTAAATTGTGTAAACTGAGATCTTCTTCCATTTAAAGGATTTCTGTTTGTGTTTTTCCTCTGGTTCTCTTTTGAGAATCTTCTGACAAGAATTGATAACTTTAGCCTAATCAATGCCCTCATCAGAGTTTAAATTTAGCATACTGGGATGCTTTGTGTTTATTTGCGCATTAAAGTTTTATCCTGATGTCATTATATGGCAGTTGTGTAGCTTTTTGTTTCCAATTTTAATGCAATGGGTCCTTTTTGATTGATTTTAATTTTTAATTTTAAGTTGTTTTTCCCCTTATTCTCTTGTTGCAGTTAGCAGACTCAAAAAAATGGACTCCTATGAAGCTGCTAAGGTTGTACATGAAAGAATCATGAGATTAGAACCAGAACAAGTCGCCAGGAAAATAGTTGGATACATTTACTTGAATAATGCTTCTGACCAAGAAATGATTAGACTAGCTTTAGGACCTGATCAGTTAATCCACAATTTGGTACAGAAAGCTAAAGCCGCACTTATGTTAGGCTCATCTCCGATTCCAGTTCCTTCCCCTCCGATTTCGCCCAATATGAATCACCCTAGTCCCGTTTCAGATGCTTCTCTTCAGTATAACCCTTTTTCTCCCGTGGCTTCTCGGCCCTTTTCTTCTCCAGTTGGATTTAGGGTTTCAGCCCCTGCTCCATTGCCATATTGGGAATGCCAAGTAACTGACCAACAGCAGCCCTTGACTGATGGGGATTTTATACCACTTGCTTACTCTGATTCACCCCCTGATGAGTATAGATTTTCAAACCAATTCATGGGTGTGGAAGAACAGTTAGAACGAGCTAACTTGAGAAATTCGGAGTTTGCGGGTGATTTTTATTACCCTGAGAATCTATTCAACTCTGGGGGAAGTAGGATTCCTCTTAGCCAACTCGAGTTCCCTATCAAGACCTGTCACTATTTCAACAAGGGTTTCTGCAAGCATGGCAGCAACTGTAGGTACTTCCATGGGCAGTCATTTCCAGAGAGCTATCCTCCTCGAGGTTTTGGCCTGAATTCGAATGAAAATGCTTATGAGGATCAGATGTTCTCACCCGGTTCTCTTGAGAAACTGGAACTTGAGATCACCGAGCTGTTAAAATCCAGGAGGGGAAGCCCGGTTTCTATTGCGTCTTTGCCAATGATTTACTATGAGAAGTATGGGAGAACTCTTCAGGCAGAGGGATACCTTACTGAAAGCCAGAGGCATGGTAAAGCTGGTTACAGTTTGACAAAGCTACTTGCTAGATTGAAAGGCAGCATCCGGCTGATTGACAGGTTTTGTTGGAATCTTTTGCTTTTGTTTTCTGGTTATTAATGTCCTTAAGTTCTATGATTAAATGTTCTATCTTATAATTACTGGTTGCAATTCAGACCTCACGGACAGCATTCGGTTATACTAGCTGAAGATGCACATAAATACATGGAATCCCGTGGTGAGAGAAATGATCCAGGTCCAATTGTTAGTGGTTCAAGGCAGATTTATCTAACATTCCCAGCCGAGAGCACTTTTACTGAGGAAGACGTCTGCAATTACTTCAGGTTTGCTAAGACTTTGGATCTTTCCATGCATTGGTATCATTGAACCATGAAATGAATTTGCTAATTTCTTTCTATACTATCTGCAGCACCTATGGTCCAGTTCAAGATGTTAGAATTCCTTGCCAGCAGAAGAGGATGTTTGGTTTTGTAACTTTTGGGAGTGCTGACACTGTGAAGATGATTTTGTCGAAAGGGAATCCACACTATGTTTGTGGAGCTCGTGTTCTTGTGAAACCTTATAGAGAGAAGTCAAAATTGGTTGACAGGTACTCAACTGTAGTTTCTAAGTTTTGCTAAGATCATCTTCGTTCTGATATAGTTTCCAGAAAATATGCTTCATTATCCTAGTTAATTAAGCTGTTTAGTTTTGCTCTTTTCTGTGAGGACGGGGTAGGGTTATTATCGATTATGGTAGATTCTCACTTACAACTCATAGTGCATGCTTTGCCTAAATGACTGATGAAGTTGGTCCTTTTGATTTTGTTTTGTGTTCCCTTTACCGTGTAATTTACAAACAAAAAGTCTTACAAAATTTCATTTATTATGGTAACATAGTGTACTAAGATTGCCAGTCCTTATCACTCCAGAAAATGGAGGGGAAATTCCCTTCTTTGACTTTGACTTTGTTATAACCGTTCTAATGCAGGAAATTCCAAGATAAGCTTGAGCCTCATCTTTGCTACCATTTGGACCACCTGAACATAGAGTCTGAGCTTCAAGCAAGTAAGTTGAGCAATTACGTTGAGAAAGAATTTGTTTTTGTTTTTTTTTTTTTTTTTTAAATTTGATCTAGAAAATTGATTCTTTCCTTTTGCCCACTAACAAGATATTGACTGTGCATTTGATAGGGTGGCATTCTTCAAGGATGCTCAGAAAGCAACAGATGCAAGAGCAGGAACAGGCCCTTGAATTCGAGATGAGACGTTTCTCGCAGCTACAGTTAGCAAGAAAACCTCTGGTCAGTCCGAATAGTTTCGGTTATTCCATGGATGAGCTAAAACTCTCTGAAGGTGTGTTCTGGTTTGAATTATTATGAGTTTTAACATTCTCTCATTATCCTACATTTGTTTTTACTACTTGGCTCATTTTGAATGTGTTTAAAATTTTTGCAGATTGTATGAAGTTTCCATCAGCGGAACGGTACAACCAGCTGCTTGATGTTTTGAATGGATCGACTAGTGATGATAACCTAAAGCAGCATCCTGGTGTTGATTGTACTGATCAGGGCAGGTAACCTTTATTAGCCTTCATATATTATTCTCTTTATGCTTTTCTATTTCATGTTTGAATTGCAAATTGTACAAACTTTTATGATTCATGAATTTCTTTGCCAGAATAATTTCTTCCCTCTAATCTTTTGTTCGTCTTTACAGCAATGAAGGTCTGAATCTTCCTGACAGCCCATTTGAATCGGTGGCAAGCGTTGTTGCTTCTGTTATATAGGCATACCTAACCTTCAGAATTAAACAACTGGTTTTGGAAGACGCAGTAATACATTCTGTTTGACAAGAGTACAGCTTTCAGTAGTCAGGTTCCGGAAATTCTCGTTTTGTTTACAGACTCATAGTTTTCTGGCAGTATATTTTTAGCAAAGGAAGAAAGGATTATGGAAGGCACATAACATATCCATCCTCCAGGAAAAGAAGAAATGACACCACAGATGAAGTACATGTAAAAGTTCTACAGGTTTTCACTAGTTTTTTATATTTTGAATCCTTAATGACAGACAACAAATAGAAAGAAAGAAAGAGAATTCAAATATCTCTAGAAGAAGAAAGTGTAAGATAGGGATTTAGATGGAAAAAAGAAGAAGCTAATAGTAGTGGTAGTAGTAGTAGTAGTAGTAGTAGTAGCTATAGCAGTAGTATATATGTGGCAGGTTTCAGAAAAAGGTGAATACAGTAGTGGAAATCTGCGACCTAGCAAAATAGAATGAAGAAGAACTCTGTTATGAAACAAAAAAGCCCTTTGGGCGTACTCTTGGCTAATGAAGCTTATATCATTACTTGTTATCTTTTGGGTTCTAACTCTGTATTTCGCCTATTACTATTTAGTATTTAATGATAAAATGCAGGGAGGGTGATGTGGATGGAACTGCTGTGACTTTACGGATTTTGATTTTGGGGAGGAATCTCACATTGTTTAACGTAGTGATGCTTTGCAATCCTTGATTTGTCAAGAGCCGGGTGTTTTGCATTTACCTTGTTTTTTATTTTTTTTTTGAAGAGCGGCTTTTGAAATACATTTGCTTTCGTTGTGATGCTATTTGGTTCTCTTTTTTTGGTGTGTGTGTGTGTGTGTGGATATAATGAATGACATTGGTAAGGAAGATGGTGATTTTGGTTTTGGAGGGAATGAAACAATGCTAGAACTAATGGTTATGGTGGGGTTCCTAGGTATGGAAATTCGGGGAATCTTGACTGTATGCTGGGGGGAGAACTGAGACGGGGGTCAAAGCTTCAAAGTGTATTATGCTCAACTTCCTATATGGTACTAGTAAGTAGTAGTAGAACTACAATGGTCCCCGGGAAATGTGTATTCCACCACAGTTCACAATGTTTTCGGTCCCCAATATCATACATAACCCACTCACCACACCTAAGGAGTGTTGTTTCTTTGGGAATTTGTAACAATGAAAAATCCAAATATTTGACACATTAGATCACAATAGAACAATGTGAAATTACAAGTCCTCAACAATGGCCATAAACTATTTGTATCAATGGTGTTACTCCTGACCGACCAACGGCCTAAAGAAATACTGAGAAGTGAGAAGAGTATTGTAGTGATTTGTTGATTTTGTATGTATTAGAATATATATATATATATAAAAAAAAAAATTAAAGTAAAAATTATTCCATCAGTTCCAAAATAAGTGTCGTATTAGCAAAATGAAGAAATTTCAAAATAAGTGTCGTTCTCAAATTTTAATGTAATTTTTGTCCAAAGTTTCTAACATTACTCGCAAAAGAATTAATATTATTGGTGAATATTTTTTTTAATGGGGTTGGTTGAAGATATTCAAGTAATTTTACATTCTTATTTAATAGTTCCTTAACCTATGTGCAAATTTTAGGATGACATTTATTTTATAATGTAGGTCACTTTAGACTCCATACGTAAACTAAAGAGACAATCATTTAATAATTAATTTGTGCGTTAAATTTCTATTTTACTTATCATTAATTGTTTTGAAATTATAACTAATATTAGATAAAAAGTGATAAGTATTATTTATTAGGGATAAAGTTGAAAAGTTAGTTTTTAATTTATATCCTAAAATAATCTATATTTTGATATTTCTCAAAATTTAAAATGATCTATATTCTAAAATGGAGTGAGTAATACATAAGACAAGAAACAAACAAAGGCAAGTCGCTTCGTGTGACAAAAAAAAAAAAAAGGTTGGAAGGAGGCGGGGATGATGATGATGAGGATTGAGGAGGATAGGTTTTGGAAGGAAGTGGTCAGAAAATTGTTGATTTCAGACCACGGCAGAGAGTGACGGCTGTCGGCTGCGGCTGAGTTGTGATAGGCTGGCCGTGGACTGAGGCGCTCATAAGCTGATAGAAAGATTTTGGATTAGTTTCCTTATTTATATGGAAAAAAATCTGGTCCGAGTGTGTAATAGTAACAATTTTGTTGTTTGAAAGTGACGTTGTGTGGGGGGTGGGGATAAGCATTGATCAATTTCCATACACACAATTTAGATTATGATTTTTCTTTGAAAGGGACTGTCTGATTATGATACTACTAATACTATTTTAGTGCTAAATTTGAGGTCTACTTTTCTCCAAAATTCTACACTCAAATGCGGCCATCCTTAATTATCTTAATCTGTTAATCGTGAAATTGTTCCTCAATAGTCAATACTACATCCTAAAACTGAACTGCTGATTGTATGTTTATTCTTCGCCAGAAATCGATGATATAGTTTGTTGCTAAATGATCAATGTGTCTTTTGTTAATTGTTAATTGTAAATTTTTGTGGGAGTTAATGCAATTATCGTAAATTTGGTTTATTAGATGTTTGAATGAAAGCAATTTTTTTTTAAAAAAGAAATAGCTCCAATTCGAGATCAAATTTTTGGTACGAATCGATGCGTTGCAGATTTTCTTTCTGTTAATAACGAAATCACAATTCTTACAAGCACTTAAACTATTACATGTGTAAGTCTGTTAATAACAAAATCACAATTCTTACAAGCACTTAAACTATTACATGTGTGAGTCTGGGAGAAGAAAATCTACTACTAGCCTAGTCTAGCGGGGGACGGACTCCACGCCTGCAACGCCTCTTTCTGCACATGCTGCTGTAGGGTTTCGAATCCGAGACCTCGAGTCCGAGACCTACGCATCCGATGTCTAAGTCCTTTACCACTTAGGCCACCCCTTCTTGGCTCCATCTACATATTGTGAAGTGCGGTTTTTATATTCAGCAGGAAGGAAAGAAAGAAAGTTCTAGATTATTGTTCTGCTAATGATTGAGTTACCTGGGGGGTGGGGGCCCGCTTCCATTAGATACCCAGAGAAAGTAAAAATGATTTGAGCAATCACCGAATTAACTCCGCAATTCTCGGACATCAGAATCCTTTTGTGCGACTGCTTCCCGCAATTATTTTTAACTTTGTTAGTACTAGACTTTTTTACTGTTTCAAACACAAAATTTTAACAGGAAGACTTTGTTCGAGTCAAAAGAAAAGTTGGAAACTAGCTGGAGACGAAAAGTCAAACACGAAAATGATAGAAGATCCTGCAGACTCCCCCCCAAAAAAAATAATGATACGTACTCAAGGAAAAAAATTAAATAAATCAAATAAAGAAGAAAATTATAAAAATGATCACAAAATCGGCCACTAACACCAGACAACCCAAAAGACATCAGCAAAATTGATATGATACGATATTAGAGTTTGAGTACAAAAGTGGTGTATAATTTTAGTATGTCAAAAGTCACAAAAAAAAAAAATAAAAAATACTCCAGGTTAAATGTATTTACACAGTACAATTCCCCAAGGTAACAAGTCTCAACCAGCACAATAAGCTGATATGTGGATTTAGATGTGTACTGTGTACATGTACCATAACACAAACCCAACTCCGAGGATTTTCATCTTCGATGAAATTGCTCCATTAACTGAGTGCAAATAAAATCCCTTCATTCTTGGCAGAGGAGTCAGGAGATGTACTTGGTATCGATCTGTATGGTTAAACAGTCAGATAAGGTTTTTGTATTCAGTGTCAAAATAGTGCTCTGCCTGACAAGAAGGTGTTGCGGATTGGAATGTGTTACTTCTGCAAAACAGAAAAAAAAGTAATAGGCTGTCATGTGGGCATGTGGCTGAAGTTCTGCATCAACTCGAGTGGTTCTGATGTTGCTATGGCAGCAGCCTATTTAGCACTTTGGTTATCAAGGCTGGTGAATAAGAGTTCAAACGGAAACTCGAATAAGATGCCATTTATAATCCGTAAAAACAAAACCGTTTGAAGGTCCAAGTTGGAACAGGGCTAACCTTGTAAACTGCAGTCAGCCATCCTTAACTTCAGCATCTCACCAGCCCACCAAAAGTGCCAGAACGTATCAAACCAGTTCCTGGTACAAACAGAAGAGAGTGTCAAAGTCTATTCCATTATTACTAACACTCAATTCATCTGCCTCATGTTCTGGTAAGGCTGATTACCAAGTCAAATGACTCCCATGTTGCCCTAGGCCAGGATGTTAGAACACAGCCAACCGAGTTTTGCACCCAAGCAGTTCAATGATAGCCTTTACCTTATTGAAACGGTAACTAAGATAGATGTCTTAATCATACAAAACATACCTCCTTACCACAAATGTCAAAGAGCATCTATGCGTCACCATTAACACTCTCTGTGTGCTATAAAGAGTATCCGATGTAAATTCATAGGTCAATCCTTCTGTTAATGACTCCAATTGCTCGGTCAAGCAGTATCATCTTTCATATTTGTTTGCAAGCTCCTTCAGCAATAATTTCTGCCGAAAATCCAGGTATTTATCTAAGCTAGTTCCGGCCCATTGCTGACAGAAGCACTCATCATTTGGAACAAATGAACTCAATGGAAATGGTCCTCTTGGAGCTTTCTTCAGAGAAACCAAAAACCTATGGCGAGGCCGAATCCTTTGATCCAGGGACAAGCTAAGGTACATAGGATATTTGGTTAACACTTGTACTTCATTTCGAAGCTCTTTTATCAAATACATGTACTTGGGTTTCAGATTTTCCTCCAGCGAAAGTGAGAAGACCTACAAACAATTAAATTATCTGTAATATGAGAATATATTTCAGGAGACGTACACCTCTAAGATACCACATTACATCTCCCCACCATATGTTCAGAACAAATGCCTTAAAAGCTACTGCTTTATAGTTATAAACCATAAATCACATCAACTAATTGCGAATTGAATATAGTGCCATATCCAAGGGAACATCAACATCATCACTGATATCAAATACTACTAGCTTGAAGAATCAAAATCAGAACACAACTAAATTGCACTATCAAGACGTACATACCTGTGTAAGGCTAGTCAAAACCTTCAAAATCTCATCATTTCGCAATCCAATACTCCGAAGGAAATTAATCCTTGGGAGTAAACCATCTTCAATACTGTAGTGAAGCAATTGGGGATGCTTCGTGACCATCTTTACAATGTTCTCCCTTGGAGCACCTAACTCTTTAGTAAGAAATTTCAATCGAGTATTCCATGAACTATCAATACGCTGAACCAGAATTTGAGGACTTAACTGCACAACTTTACTGATCTCACTTTTCTGAATTCCTACCTCCTCCTGGAGATATCTTACAGTGGGTTTTAGTGAATTGTTGACACTGTAAGAAAAGAGAGAAGGAGCTGCTGTGATAATTTGCCCAATTTTCGAATCTGGAATATCCAAACTTGATAAGAAAGCTACATGGGATTTTAGGTTGTTCTCCACTGTGTACTGAAGAATCTGAGGCTGCCTCAAAATAATCTTTCGGATATCTCTCTGCTTGACACCAACACTAAGCAAGAATTCCAATCTTTCCTGGGCTGAGGCAACATTAATTTGGAGTGAAGGCATGTGTCTCTCATACATTTGAATAAAGTGTGAATCTTTGAGTCCAAAGGTGCTTAGATAGTCAAGAAGCGCAAAGCATCCTTCATCTATATCTATTTCTTCCGACAAGTGGCGATATCTGTTCTTAGCATCATCCACAGCTTTCTGTTTCAATTAGAGGAAACTTAACTTCAGAACCCATTATCACCATCACAGTAGTACTGTTTACGTATTTGGAATAAATGAAGGGTACCTTTTCTCGGCCTTTTCGAGCTACTGAACCAGCAGTCTTTGAAGCTTTGCGAATGGCACCGACCCTTCTTTTATACAGGTCACTTTCTCCATTTTTTTGAAAGCTCCTCCCTGCATAACGCTAAGCAATGTAAAAGCAGTTCATATTGCTCATCCCTCCATTTTTATTTTTTTAGCAAATCATATGGTATACCTTGCCGCATTTGCCAAGCCTTTCGAGATTTGGACAACATTCCACCAATTTCTGAATCTTGATCTTCCGGAAAATCATCCTGGAGATTCGACCCAGTTCTATGAGAGATCTCAGCAAAGATAAGAAAACTACCAAATAAACATAGGTATCTGATGCAAGTTTTATATGGAATTACAAAAATAATGCGCTTTCAATTAGTATCTGTCCAAGAAATAGCAAAAATGAACAATAATAAAAGCTCCATATTTTTGTACTACTTAAAAGATGCCCTGAAACTTCTCATCTAATGAGCTTTCAATTAGTATCAAATGGAGGAATAGCCCAAAAGGGACAATAGTAAGACCTCCTTATGTTTAAGGGACAATAGTTAGAGTTCCTTACGCTTGCATTGCATAAATAAGCCTTCAAAGTTCTCATATTGATTAACCAATAACATATATTGGAGGAAGAACTGCTTGCAATTGATAAATATTTACCCAATTAGTCATCCTTGTGCACATTGGACACTCAAAGCCATCTTCAGACACTATAACCCAATCCTGAAGCTTACAGCTTTGGAATGTAAACCCAGGCAAATTAGATAAACGGCAAAAACATATATCTTAGACTAATGGATTATTGAATTGATAATTCGAGAAAATAAAACAAAAAATGGAAAACATAGTAAACAAACAACTGATTCAAAACAGAAAAGGCAGGCAAGAGCTACTTAAAAAATGGGATTTGAAGAAGACACCCAAAATAAACAGAAACTAGAAATTACCAAGCAGAAAGGACATTAAAAAGAGAAACCCACATCAGAAAGCCAATCATCCGAGTCTTCCTCCTCCTCCTCAGTTTCATCTTGGTCAGAGTCATAAGGTGACAATTGTTGACCATGCCTAGACCTGTGTTTAGACTTGAGAATCTTAGCATTCGAATGTGATGACACCACTCCTATTTTGCTAAGGCATACTCCTCCTTTCCTGCGAATTTCGGTTCCATTTGAAGATGTCAGGTCGGCAAAGAGAAAGGAAGAATTAGAAGGAAATTGGTACGCAACGGCAGAGTGGAAGATTGAGCATAAAGCCATAATCTTTTTGGTCGCATAATATGAAGAATGAAGATAAGAAGCCGACATAGCAGAAATGGCGCAGAATATACTCTTAAACCCTTAAAGCCCTGAAGCTAAAATTGAATTTCCTTACTGATTTTGCTAGTTTTGGTATCGTGGAGGAAGGACAATACAAGGCGATGATCCTACCTTATCCTCTTGTCCTTTTTCTCATGGATATTTTTCACATCTACTATTTCCGTCCTCCCATTAAGAAGGCAATTATAAAATTAAAAACTTTCATCAACCCGCCATAACAAGAAATTAAAAAGGGTCCAAAGCCATTAGTAAAATGCTAAACCCTTGACGAAAGTATTTTATAAAACGTGTAAAAAATCGGAATCGTGTGGTGAAGTCAACTTGTTGGTGTAGAGGAGAAAAAAAATTATCCATAAAAAAATCAACAATCTTATGACTGAATAATGAGACCTTATTTTTGCTACTGAAATGATTGAAAGTTGAAGTCTTGAAACCAAATAGCATTACAATTTGCGATCTTTGATGAGTTTTATTTTATGTAGCTTCATTGAATGAAAACTTTATCTTAAAAGGAAATCATGCCGGTTGAATTAAAACAATTTTATCATAGTGACTAATGTCTCCTCTAATCTAAGTTATAAGTATTTCGAGTTTTCGACTAATGAGATAATAACATCATTCTGAAATAAAGATAACCAACAAAGATAATAACTATGAGATAATGAACACACTTTTTTTTCTTTCCCTTTCCCCCTGGGACAAATTTGTGAGAAAACTGGTTTCTACCTGACGTGAGACAAATTTCTATGGGCTTCAGAGCCTATAATGACACCCACCTCAACAGGCCTACAGTCCAAGAAAATTAGATATCAAGCCATACCAATTAAGGGCCCAATCAATTGAGCAAGCCTATCAAAGCTTCTTATTTCCTTCGCCGGAGAGAAGAAAGACTGGCAGAGAAGTTCTCAGTCACACTCTTCAACTGAGTCTTTGGAAGAAGAGCAGCTGCAAAAGGGAATCAAACCATGAATACTGACATCACCGCATCGGCAAAGCCGGAGTACCCAGTTGTAGATCGGAACCCACCTTTCACTAAGACCGTTGCCAATTTCAACGTCCTTGACTACCTCCGACTCACCACAATCACCGGCGTTTCCGTCACCGTCGGCTACCTCTCCGGTAATCCTCAGCAATCCCATTTCGTATTTGGTCCTTAATTAATTGGCCCTTAATTCATCTTTCCATTTTCATGTTAATCAAGAATGAAATGTGGGTATCATGTTTGTAAAAATGGCTTCTTTTTATTTATTTATTTATTTTTTCCCTTTTTCGTAGGCATAAAGCCTGGGATTAGGGGGCCATCAATGGTGACTGGTGGACTTATTGGACTAATGGGTGGGTTTATGTACGCGTATCAGAATTCAGCCGGAAGGCTTATGGGATTCTTCCCTAACGATGGAGAGGTAGCCAAGTACAAGAAATCGCTTTAGGGTTCAACTCTTTGTTTGTGCCAATTTGTATTTTATTTATGGTTTCTGGTGCAAGAGTAATTTTTGACCCTTGGTTTCGATGCTAATGATGAAATAATCAGATTGTTGCTTCTCTTTAAATCGGGATGCTGTTTTTGCTCTGTCAACATTTTTGTTCAATCAAGCTACTTACATTTATCCTCCTGTACTGTATGATAATGCGGGGTTCCGTGCACTGGTGATGCGAGTTTGCTTTTTAACTTCTGTTGATTTTGGGTAGCATTGTTTGAGCTGCCCATGAGTTCTGGAGCTGTACATGTATCTGCTTTAAGTTTGTTAAATTTCTGAGCGATCTTATTTGGATGATTTTATTAAGGAACTGAGGTGGCATTGTGAATTGTGTGAATCGTGCTATGAATCGTGCTACTGACTGCTTTTTCTTTTAATAGTCCTCAGTTATCTTTTCTCCCACATCAGGAGATAAGAAACTTCATGTAGTTGCTTATGTCCTATTCCTTCCAGGAGCTTGATTGTGCTATAAATTAGTTGATCTTGGCCCTAAGATTTTCTACTCCTGTTTGTATCTGTTCATAGTTTCAGTGCTGTCCTTGTTATTGCCCAGTAGTACTTCTCATTTATCTGTATTTTGGTCCTGTGAGGTGTAAACTATTGCTATTTTTTCTTGTCAGCTATAAATTTTTCCCTTGCAGTCCTTCACCGTTGAAATTTTAAGGAAAAACCACTGTATGTTCTCTAGTTTTGTACACCTTAAAGAAAATCTTCCCAAATGAAGCTTTAGTTTTGTCATTGAATTTGTTCCCTTGAAACTTGGAAATTTCGTTCCTAGACGATTGTTAAATAATGTGGATACCATAGAGACTTGCGGTATATCACCTGTGGTGCACGTTGATGAGTATGAATGATATTGTTACCTGTTTTGTTTGTTACTGTTGTTCTAAAGGTAAGCCATCATCGATTTATGAACCGATGTATTGTTGTGCTTTAAGACAGTAAGCCGTGAGTATGTGCTGTTGAGAGACAAATTAGTGCTTAGCTCGGCAAAACTCGTGAATTTTACATTCATGACCTAAGTTGATCAGGATGATTATTTAATGTTCTCCTCTCCCACAAGGACTCCCTTTTGTTAGGTGGTGCTGAATTTCCTGTTTCCTCACTGATTGTCTTATTCTAACATGAATGATACTGAAAGGACAACAAAACCTGTTATCTTCTGGGCAACAAACATGTTAGCTCCTGCTGAATTTCTTGGTTCCTCTTTTATCTAACCAGATTGTATGTCTTATTAAAAGATGGAGGATCATCAAAGGACGATATTTTGTGATCTTCTGCTGCATTTCTTGTTACTCTCTCCTTTTCTAGCCTTGTTATGTGTCTTATTAGACAGATAATGAATGGATTTACATACTGAGTAAAGATCTTCCTTTCTTTTCCTGTTAGTCCTCTAAATCGTATGATGGGTGCTGTTTATGGCATGAATCAGAAAACATAAAGCACAATTATTCGCATCAATCTTGGCTGTTGTTAATCTGCTAATAGTGGTGTTGTATGGTGATTAATGGCTGAGTATTATGACTACGAGCTATACTAACAATACTGCGAAACCATAAGTCACTTGGGAAGACTTTTAACCTCACCTGAGACATTTTCATTAAAGGCGTAAAAATGAGAGAATCAAATGGAAGATGTTTCCCTGGTACCCCATTCATTTTTGAAGTGACTTATGAGGGCTAATGAGAAATGCCAAAAGTTTTTGGCAGTATCACAGGACAGCGCAAATGAACCATCTAGGAAGGACCGCAACTACAAAGGGCAAGAAGTACTGAAAAAATTTTGAAGTTTAAAGATACTTCCTATAAGACACGTTAAGGATTCCATTTTTCTGCCAAAAGAAACACACCACCCCATCAATCATCAACTTCCAAGTTCCAAAATGCAGACTTTTCTTCTTATTTGGATTCTCTTAAGCCTTATGGCCCTTGTCATTCCGCTCCATTCAATTCCGACGCCTCCTCTCTTCAAGAAACGCCACTCTTTTCACCAAGAGGCCATCACTTCTCAGCCCCAACAGTACTTGGAAGTCACCCGACCCCTCCCATTTGACAGCCTCAACGCATCATGCACCCTCCCTGTTCTCACTCACAATTTCAGCAACACATATGGTCGTCCCCCTGTCTCGATGCGCTACTCCCCGCCTCTCAACTGCAGATGGACAAATGTTGTTCTGGAGATCCAAATTTCTTGCCAGGGGGAACAGTATGATCGAATTGCCGCAGTCTGGCTCAGTGGTGCCGAGCTGATCCGCACCAGCACAGCTGAGCCGAACCAGGAAGGGATTTTCTGGGTTGTACGTAAAGATGTCACGAGGTATTCCTCTCTGTTAGCTCAGGACAACTTGACACTCTCAATGATGCTTGAGAACATTGTTCATGGTTATTGGACTGGGGTTTATCAAGTTAACATTACATTCCATTATTACGATACTTCCCCTCCCATCACTCCTGCTCCAGCCCCTGCCCCTGATCCTGTTGGTCCTTTGCTTGCTCTACGTGGCGAGGACGAAAATTACTACAAAAATAGTAAGAAATTGAAGTCTAAGGAGTACCCTTTAGAATTGGAGGTGAATGATGAAAAGGGTACCTTCGATTCATATGAAAGACCAGCAGACTTAATTGTTCCGGTTTCTTCCAATGGCATTGGTGGTTTTTGGTTTAGGATTCAAAACGAATCGGACATTCACTCTAAAGGGGTTGAAATCCCTCGAAATACTTATAGAGCTGTGATTGAGGTTTATTCTTCAGCTCATGGGGATGATGAGTTTTGGTACTCCAATCCTCCTGATGGTTACTCATGGAGAACAGGAGAAACTGAAGCTGAGTCAAAGCATGGTCATGGTGCACATCGTGAAGTATTGGTGAAGATTGATGGGGCTCTTGTGGGATCAGTTGTACCCTTTCCAGTTATATATGCCGGAGGAATCAGCCCCGACCTGTGGGCGCCTGTTGTAGGCATCGGAGCATTTGATCTTCCTTCGTATGATCTTGAGTTGACACCCTTTTTAAGCCTGCTTCTTGACGGAAGGGCACATTCTTTTTCGTTTGAAGTTGCCGATGGCAACTCATTTTGGCTTGTTGATGCGAACTTGCACCTCTGGTTGGATGCCAGTGTGAAGCAAGTGCTGGCGGGAATAGATTCCAATGTGCCGGAGTTTTCTTTGGAACATAAATCCAAGTTTGATGCACTTGCAAGAAAATTCGAAATTCAGGGCGAGAGGACGATGAAGGTTTCAGGGTGGATGATCATGGCTACTGGCTATTTCACAACCTCATTTGAGCAGAAACTGAAGTTGGAGAACACTGTAAAGTTTTACAACAATGGTAGCAGCAAATTGGTGGAGCAGAAAGTCAAGGACAAGAGTGTATTCAGTATTAAATCCGGGAATAAGGCGGTAATATTTTATACCAGTACTAAAAGAGAGTTCCCTTTGAAATGGAACACTGTAACTTTTGCAGGAGTGGATGAGAAGTCTTCTGGGGAGACAGTGGAAACAACCATTATGGAGAAGAAGACATTAGGCGATTTGTGGAGCATTCGGACAAACAGACAGGAATGCAGTGCGTGGACGTTTGGGAATGATCTTGGTGTGTTTTCTCATAAAGCATTTACTCATCAGAATTACAGTTTCATGGATGGATCAAATTGCTACTCCCGAATGGTTGTTGCGGAGAACGGATCCCTTCTTGGTGATACTACAAGCTCGTTGTGCTTAAAATCCATGTGATGCTGCATTAATTTGGTTCTTTTGTTTTAGTGTTTGGGTTTCCTGAAATGCAATTTACTATTCTGCTGAGTGCTCGATATTTTACTGTGAATCTAGTCCATTGGAATTAAATATGGTTTCATGGCTTTTCGTTTTTGGTTGCTGATGCTACTTGTATAATCTGTGTCGATTTATCATTATTACATCCATTCGCCTAGGGTTTGGATCATCATCAGAGTACAAACGTCAGTGCAACTAGCACTAATCAATCCCTTTTCAACCAAACTGATTTAACAACTACAACTTATTCTCGTTCGACGACGACTGTGAATGTGGAATGTGTTGTGTTCATTAAGATTATCTTATGGTTCCTGTATCACTGAGAATTATGAGAAGAAATGACATAACAAGAATGAAGGACATTGTAGGACACTGAAATTATTTAAGTGGTAGAGCGTTGATATGAGTTATAGTGAAGGATTATTGAATTATTAAACCTCAAGGGGGATTATTTTGTTCTGAAGCATAATGTAGTTTCTATAACAACTTCCATTCGCCCGAACTCTTGCGACATTGGCTGCTCTGTATGGGGCGGGTTCATCTCAGATTCAAACGAATAAAAAGGTACACAATGAAAGTTAATCCGACTTGCTGATATCAACTACAGTTTACAGTTAAATATTAGATCACATATTTGCAGGTGCTGGACAGGGATCGTGATGTTTCATCCTTTCAATTAATGATGTGATATTGGCTTAAATTTGGTTCATCTTGTCCACAAATTGAAGATGCGTTGTACAATTGGAAGTTTTACTTTAGGATTTCGAATGTACCCTTTCACTAATATTAGTACAGCAATTTCTTTCTTTCTTCCACCCCGTCCCTCCCCCTCCCCCTGTAACGATGAAATATGTGCATTACAATCACAGAAGATGACCTGACTAGAAATATGGATTATTTCACGTCTCAATCTCAAATTCATATTTCAATGTAGATCAGAAAATCTGGGTGAGAGGAAAGGGAGATCATAAGCAGGTAGGCCGTAGCCGTTAACGAAGCCAAAGTATGCATCCAATCTTAATAGAGACGCACGAACAGATCGGTGTCATACTCTCATAGCTAGCTGATGTAATTTTGCACAATTTACTTTCATAACCTATTACTAAATCTTATAGGTACAAATTAAAGAGTTAGAAAATTGATATTTATTTACAAAAAATAAACAGAGAACGAACTAATAGAGTAAAGGACTAAATTTCTATTTCCTTAATGAATAAAATACATCAAATGTCTTTTAATAGGCTTAGTTTACAAATATAATAATCATGGAAACTAATTAATTTTTATTCAAGTGATAAATATGAATAGTTGATCACTAGAAGTAACCAACTAGATTGAAACTAATCTAAGGCTTTTTATCTTTTTTATACTTTATCTTTTGACATTCCTCCAAAGAGCCGGGACTAAGGACTGAGGACCGAAGGCACAGTTTGTTGTAGAATAGAGCCCACTGGATGTATTCCTTGAAACTTGATTCTGAGTTTGTTGTGAATGTCTCATATTATGGATCTGGATCCAGACTTGTGAACTTGCAATAAAAATAAAATAAAATTGTATCGTGGTAGATTACCAATGTCACACAATCTTATTTTGGAAGTGTGAATGTAATCTCCAATGACCATGTTATCATTTTTTTGTAGAGATGTGTGAGTTTTCTTAATAATTCTCCAAAAAATATATGTACTTCATTTTTGAGTACTTTCCGGAGAAATATTTGTGTAAAAAAAATAATGACAAGTCCAATGGATTTTCTCGGACTTTTGTCATGATTGAAATTTTTTTAATGGATCCAGATGAGACTTTTTGTTTTTTTGGATGGTGATGAATGAAATTTGAGGATGAATGGTTGAGTTGTGAGTTGATCGATATGTCTTTGACTCCGTGCGACAATCTCTCTGCAGTGAATAATTGGTGGGAAAGAGTTTTAGAATAATAAAATTTTGAATATCTATGAACATAAATGAAAAAGTTATAATTGATAGACAGATTTGCGGAAGCAAAAAAGAAAATAATAGAAAAAAATCTAGACGCAATATAGAATCTGCTCTGATACAAAGAAGAAAATAAATATTTATTTAGAAAAAATAAATAGAAAACGAACTAATAGAGTGAAGGACTACATTTCTATTTCCTCAATGAATAAAATACATTAGATGCTTTTTATAGAATTAGTTTACATATATGATAATTATGCAAATCAATTAATTTTTATTCAAGTAACAAATATAAATAATTGATCACCAGAAGTATCCAACTAGATTGAAACTAGTCTAAGACTTTTATCTCTTATCTACTTTATCTTTTTAACACTACAAAGTGCTTCTTTCCTCAGCAGTACACAATCACCATAGGCTCATTTAAGTCATTTCTCTAACTTTCCTCTTCACGTATCTCAAAAGCTTCCCAAACATTAATTGCCTTAGAATTGGTAAAAAATATAAAAATAAAAATAGAAAATGACCTCTTCAATCCTATTACGATGAATATACACGTAAATGGTAAATATATTAGTTATCTAGGTAAATGATGTACTTACCCTAGATAGGTTTTTGTACCGTAATTTCGAGAATGGATTGATCATCGCTTCCTGTATATAATTTACCCTATAATCAAAAAAACGGCAAGAGGTTCCGCCGCTTCTTCCAAACCTCGGTATATTTCTCTTCAAATCCTCAACCTGCTCACCTTGATAGTAAACATTTCTAACCTAGTCACGTCTTATTAGAAGGACAATGATTATGAACTGACATTTTGAGTAAAGATCCACCTTTTTTTTGTTGGTAGCCCTTTAAATGGTGTTTGGTGATGAATGGTCGCACATTACTTCTTCCGGTTTTTTTTTTAAAAAATCTAGTTAGTTATACTGTTTAATTCAATAAATTATGTTTTTTTCAACAACATAGGACATACTATTATTTACTATCAATATAATGCTTCAGTTGGAAAGGTATCATCTGACTACATCTTTTTTTCGTGAGAGGCTTATGACGAGAGAACAAAAATGGAAGATGTTTTCTTTTGCTTTTTTGGTGGTAAATAAAGATGTTTTCTTGTGTTCTCCTTAGATTTTGGTAATAGAGGGTGGATTTTGAGAGGGCAGAATCAAGCTTTTGGCAATATCACGGGATAAGGTGAATGAACCATCTAGGAAGGACCGCAACTAGAAAAGGGTAAGTCAATAAGTTAAGAACGTAAAAGATGAATGATAGTAACCATTTAGTACAATTTTAAACCTTTTGTTGTTCTTCACTACCACCGGAGACGCAAGTAACATCAAATTTGACGAACTGTTGCAGACTTACTGTGGCGAATTCCTCCTAATCGACTTTGTGAATTAATTCAGTGTTGCCATCGCACCTCGAGAGCGGATTTTGAGGTCTTCCAAGTCAGGCAGTGAGAGTGATAATTATAATACCATCAGGGAATAAGCTTTTGTATTATGAGTATTGGATAATCAAACTAAAAGTTGGAATAGGATGTTGACCGATATTATTTTTGATGCTTTGCTACCTACCTTTCAATATAATTATATTTTTTTTGAACAGAGAGATTATATCACGTTAGCCTTTCTCTTTCTGTTCTATGATTAATAATAGAGCTTTAACAAAAAATATAAATAATGTACTATTTGGTAATCGGATCTTGGACATGATAGATCTATCAATTTGATTTGCCTTACTAGATACATTTTCCCATCAGGATTTGTTTAATTGTCCACATATTGATAGGCTATGGAGAATGGAGATTGATCCATAGCACGAGAGTAGATGCATTTTCTAATGCCAATTGCATGATCCATGAATGCTACTAGCCCTAGGCCCCTAAGGTAGTTGCAGAATTGAAGCATATTCAGACAGAGTCAGAGCTCATTTATATTGTATTCAAGATTTCCTTCCAATCGTATGTGTTATCAATATCATTCAACCAACTAACTAACAGCCCGACACTATACAGCTTCTTCTCTTTTTCTTTCTTTTTTTTTTTTTTTTCTTTTTGGTTTCTTATTTTATATCAAGTCCATATTGCACAATGAATCATCATCATTCTTCAAAAATGAAAAAAAGAAACTAGACAAAAAACGCATCTAAACATTCTCCACTCATCCCATAAAGACACGCCAAAGATTCCATCTTTTTCCTGCCAAAAATACACCAAAATTCCATCATCATCCTCCAAGATGCTATCTTTCCTTCAAATTTTGACTCTCTTTAGCCTAATCATTCCACTCTACTCAAGCCCAACTCCACTTCACTTCATAAAACGCCATTCTTTCCATAAAAACGCCATCAATTCTCAGCCTCAACAGTACTTTCAAGTTACCAGACCTCTCCCTTTTGACAGCCTAAACACATCATGCACTCTTCCAATCGTCACTCACAATTTCAGCAACACTTATGGTCTCCCCCCTGTTTCAGTCCCTTACTCACCGCCCCTCAACTGCCCCTGGACCGACGTCGTTTTGGAGATCCAAGTCTCCTGCCAGGGAGAACAATACGATCGGATTGCCGGAGTCTGGCTCAGCGGCCGGGAGCTGATCCGTACAAGCACGGCTGAGCCGACTGAAGATGGGATTTTCTGGGTTGTGCGTAAAGATGTCACCAGGTACTCCTCTCTGTTAGCTCAAGAAAACTTGACGCTCTCAATGATGCTTGAGAATATTGTTAATGATTACTTCACTGGGGTTTATCAAGTTAATGTTACTTTCCTTTATTACGATACTTCCCCTCACCCTGCCCCTGCTCCGGCCACAGCCCCGGCTCCTGACCCGGATAGTTTTGATCCTTTGATTGTTATTCCTGGGGAGGATGAATTTTACTACCGGACTAGTAGGAAATTGAAATCTGTGGAATACCCTTTAAGTTTTGAGGTGAATTATGAAAAGGGTTCGTTTGAATTATATGATAGGCCTGCTGATTTGATTCTTCCGATTTCTTCCAGTGGAATTGATGGTTTTTGGTTTAGGATTCAAAACGAATCGGATATTCACTCTAAGAGGGTGGAAATCCCTCCGAATACTTATAGAGCTGTGATTGAGGTTTTTTCTTCAGCTCATGGGGATGATGAGTTTTGGTACTCTAATCCTCCTGATGCTTACTTATTGAATGTGGAGGCAAAAGAATCTGGGTCAAAGCGAGGTCATGGTGCTTATCGTGAAGTCTTGGTGAAGATTGATGGGGATCTTGTGGGATCAGTTGTACCCTTTCCAGTGATATTTACAGGGGGAATTAACCCTTTGTTTTGGGAACCTGTGGTAGGCATCGGAGCATTTGATCTTCCTTCGTATGATCTTGAGTTGACACCCTTTTTAGGTCTGCTTCTTGACGGAAAGCCACATTCTTTTACTTTTGAAGTGGCTGATGGTATCTCATTTTGGCTTGTGGACGCAAATTTGCACCTCTGGTTGGATGCCGGTTTGATGGAAGTCCAGGCATGCATTGGTTCTAGTGAACCAGAATTCACTTTGGAACGTGAATCCAAGTTTGATGGGCTTGGTGGTAAGTTTGAAGTTGAGGCTGAGAGGAAAGCTAAGATTTCTGGGTGGATGAACATGGCTGCTGGCTATTTTACTACCTCTTTTGAGCAGAAAGTGAAGTTGGAGAACACTGTTAAGTATTACAACAATGGTTTGAGCAAATTGGTCGAGCAGAAAGTAAAGGACAAGAGTGAATTCACAATTAAATCTGGCAATGGTGAAGTGATCTTTTACACCAGCACTAAAAGAGAGTACCCTTTGAAATTGAACACTGTAACTTTGCCAGGGAGGGAGGAGAATACTTATCAGATGACAACTAAACTGGAAACTTCCATAGAGGAGAAGAAGACAGTAGGGGAATCATCAAGCACTTTAAAGGATAGACAGGAGTGCAATGGGTGGATGCTAGTCAAGGATCACGATGTTCTTTCTGGCGGAGCGTATACTCACCAGAATTACAGTTTTAAAGACGCTGCTAATTGCTACTCACGGATTGTTGTCGCAGAGAATGGTGCCGTTCTTGGTGATAGTTCTAGCTTGTTATGTGTACATTCATTGTAATTTTGCTTTTGGTTTAGTTTAGGCTCTGCTTTCCAAGGTTCTTGGCACTGTGGTTCCAAGTTTGTCTTTAGATGCGATTCAGAGTTTACGCTCCCTGCTTGTTGAGTTACCTCAAAAGATGATTGTTGGTGCTAGTTGCTGTCTTAATGATGAATGTGATTTATGCTGCAAATTTTGTCTTTGGAAGTGCAGATGTTCCATATTGTTTTATTGTTTCCCCGAGTATCGTTTTTGTATCAGACAGTGTTGCTGATATACTTCAGATTGCATTGTCAATAATCCAAATCCAGCTATATTGAGGTAGAAAGATTCATAAGTGACTTTGTGAGATTCTTAAACTATCCACTTATTTTGAACAATGATCAGACAAAATAACCGCATGAAGAATAATAGACAAGAAAATGGTAAAGTATAAAATATGTTTGCCACAGGACCAATCTTAAAAATTCTGGCTTTGGTGCTAAGTGAAATTAAAAAGCCCACGTGGAGAAGTACCAGCTACTCTTCTTATGTGGCTCAAAAAACTGGTCCAACAAATGAGAATGGAGAGGCTGAAGATCATCTATTTTCATTGCTTCAACTCAATTCGAAACTCAGAATCAAAAGAATCAAAAAATTCGAAACTCTTCCATTCCTTAGCTAATGGAAGCTGCTTCAGTATTTGCACAACTCAATCGCTTTCCTCAAAGCTCAGCTCACCAAACGAGCATATGCAGATTGCCAAGAAGTTTCAACAATGAACATTTTAAACCAATATTGGTCATACCAAGAAGAAACAATGGAAGTAGCTTACAGAGAATGAGAAGATCAAATCCAGTATGTTCTGCTGTCACTGAATTCTCTGGTTTCACTTCAGACCCGGGCCAGGCTGTAATCACTTGGCAAATTGTAGTTGGTTCCTTAGGTAAACTCATCTTAAAAAAACTTTTTATGCTTCCATCTCCAATCCAGCTTTAGTTAGCCTCAGTTATATGTCTTATTGGGTGATTATTTTTTTTTTTTTTGTGTGTTTTCCATAAACACACATTTCTGTAATTCCGAATTTGAAGTTGGGGTGCTAACTTGAAGACCTTTAACTGATTAATGAATTTTTGCAGCCGGCATTACACCTTTTGTGGTGGCTGGAATCGAGTTCAGCAAAAGAATTGTAAGCACCATTTTTTTCAAATACTCCCTCCGTCCCATAATTATTGTCCGATTTGAGTTTTCATTTCTAGTTCAAATCATACCAAAAGTGAAATCTCAAACTGGACAATAATTTTGGGACAGAGGGAGTACTTGTTTTTCACATTAAAAGCAGTTCTTTTTTGAGTGTGCAATTTAGCTTTCATTTTGTATGCATCTGTTTTATATTATATATGCAGGTGAAACAGAGACAATGTGAAGTATGTAGAGGGTCAGGTCTAGTTTTAAGGGCTGACAAACAGTATATCCGTTGTCCTGGCTGTGGTATGAATTATAATCATGATCATCTTGTTCGCTCTTTCAAATTATTTGCTGGTTCATATGATTGAAGTACCAAACAGGCTCAATTTTCTGTGTGGGTTGTATTCAAAGATTGTCTTTTTCTGGCAGGTGGATGGCTGCCATGGCTGTCTTGGAGGAGATTCTTCACTGGCTGATACTAAAATTAGGTTCTGGCAAATCAACTAAGGTGGGATGTAAAACAGTTCCTGTATTATACAAGTACCAGTGTCATGATTTTCTGGTTATCTCAAACTTTCAAAGGAAATATAATTGGAGAAAAAAGGAACATCATGACCCAAATTGAGCAAATTGGCATAATATGAGAACTTTTACATGTATTGTAGAGATGCGCATTTTGCTATCAAGATACTAAAGAAATCGACTCCTTTTTGTTGGTATAGAAACCATGATATAACCCTAACTGGGAACGTACTAGACACGAACTTCTCGAAATCATCATCATCATCATCAAGGTAAAAACTTTCTATATCTATCGTATTTTCACATAGTCACTAGTCTATCTAACCGCATTATAAAATCGTTGTATTGCTGCAGAAGAGCTAACCACATTAGTATAAAGATGATTGTATTTATTGCAGCAAAAAGGACTCTATTTTTTGTAAGCTTCTGCGGCATATCTTGTTGCCCCTTTACCTCTTTCTCACCAGTATTTTCTTTTTTCTTTTATTCTTTTTGGTCGTATAATACTGGTAATGGATGGGTTCAACATTTTGATCAAAGATCCATCTTTTTCTTTGTTAGCCCTTTAAATGTGATGTGGGGATGCTGTTTTTTTGGCATAAAGCGGAGATTGTAGAGCAGGATTATTGGAGTTGATCTAGGGTGTTGGTAATTTGCTAAAAGTGATGTAGTTTGGTGATGAATTGAATGGTTGGATTTATTATAACACAAGCTTAATTAACCCTATAAAATGATGCAGCAATTCTTCTTCATTTGGGAGGACACTAAACATAACCGACTTGGTCATTTTCCATGGAAAATGCTAATAATGCATGAGAGCACAAAATGAAAGATGTGAGGGAAAAACCAAAGCTTTGTGCAAATATGGCAGGATAACGTGAATAGCTGCGCATCTGTTAAGGGATCGCAACTAAAAAAGGGCTGCCATTTCATCCTATAAATTGAAATCTAGGGAGTGCCCTTTGAATTTGTAGGTGAATTGATGAAAATGGTTCCTTCGATTCATATGAAAGACCAACAGATTTGATTGTTCCGATTTCTTCCAACGGCATTGGTGGTTTTTGGTTTAGGATTCAAAACGAACCGAACATTCACTCTAAAGGGGTTGAAATCCCTCAGAATACGTATAGAGCTGTGATTGAGGTTTATTCTTCAGCTCCTGGGAATGATGAGTTTTGGTACTCCAATTCTCTGTATCAAAGAAAGGCCATCGAGCGTATCGAGAGGTATTGGTGAAGATTGACTTGGATCTTGTGGGATCAATTGTGACTTTCCCCCCTTTCCCTGGTGCCTTACTCACTGCCTCTCTCAACTGCAGTTGGACCAATGTTGGTTCTGGAGACCCATATTTCTTGCCAGGGAAAACAAGTCGACCTGATTGCCGCACTCTGGATGAGCGGCGCCAAGCTATTCCCAGCATGGCTGAGCTAATCGCTCTTTTCAATTTTCTTAAAAAAATAAACAAATACATTTTCCATTTTTTTTTAAAAAAATAATCGACCAATAATGTCAATAAGAAAATAATGAATTTCACACTCAAAGAAAAAAAATTTTCTTCAGAGCTAATAATGACTACTAGTCCGAATAGAGGATGTTTATAATTCTATTTTTTTATAATATAAATTACTCAAAAAATACAAAAAAGCTAATTATTATTTTCATTCGAAACTGTAAGTTTCAAATGTTACTACATAACATTACAAACTTGAATAGGATATTCGCTGAGACGAAAAACAACAACAACAACAAAATAGTGCATAGGAAAGTTTTTATCTTTCACACTGCCAGTTCTCCTAGCTAGGTTACCTTACACGTAGAGCAAGGGTAGCTCAACATTAAATGAGGCATAACACGAGTATAAAATTAAGGTCTTTTAATAAATTAGCATACTTTCTATGGTTAATATTCCTTATGTGAAACTTATGTGAAATTTAATTAATGTTATGTGATATTTAGTTAATGTTAATGAGATTTATCATTTTGTAAAATTTATTGGACGCAAAATCTTAATTAATGTTCCTTATCAAATTAATTTATTTTAATGGATCCTATTTTTTCAAATAATAATATTGTCACAATTCATTAGGTTGTTTTAGTTCGTTTAATTTTGAAAATTTTATTTCTAATAAATCAGCCATCTCTATAACAGTTAACATTTTCATACTAAAAATCAGGCTTTGTAATTAATTATATCAAATTAAAGTGGTTTTCAACATTTATTAATATCTTAATATTTGTTCAATTCTAAAATAAATTTAACCGTCGTGTCTATTGAAATTTTCACGGGTAAGAGAACTCTCTTATATTGATTGATTTTAAATTTCTATTAGCAACATAAATTTAACCTTTTTTTTCCCTTTTAAATTGATCGAGTTCATTTTTTAACCTTTTATTTAAAAAAAAAAACGAGAAAATAAAACCTTTCTGACTAATATTACAAAATTGGGGACCTGATTTAACATTAGGGCGTAAAGCCACCCTTAACGTAAATTTTTAAATTTTGATATATTTACGTTGATGGATGAGGGTTGAATTGAAAAGGTTTAATTTCTTTCACGCATGCATTAATTGCTTTGTTTTTCATTCTAGAAACTTAGAACGAGAGTATTCGAGACTTTGAATAGCTTGTCCCAAAAAATTAAATACATCAAAGATTGTCACGAAATGAAGCCATAATTAGATTTAAACAAAAGTATAGGGGCTGGAGTTGATATTTCCTAAAACAGTCGTCTAGGTGTGAAAATTGATTTTCTTCTTGATTTCATTCTTTGATTAATTGTTACTCCCTCTATTCCAAAGTAAGTGTCATTCTATAACTTGCACACAATTTAAGAAATGCTTAACTAAATTACTATAATATCTAACCAACCTCATTAACACAAATTCTTGCCAATAATATTATTTATTTTGAGGATAATTTAAAAAATTTAAGACAAAAAGTGCATTGGAACGATACTTATTTTAAAATTTTTTAGTTTTGTTAAAATGACATTTACTTTGGAATAGAAGAGTAATGAATGATTTATTTGTTTATTTTGGACTACAATTTCAAATACATTGCATCCGACCAATGTGAGAGTAATGACTGATTTATTTATTTATTTTAGATTAAACCGCAGAAAACGACCCGTAGATTTGGCAAAAATTTTATTTTTGTCCCATAAATTTTCACTTAAAAATATACATTTTTGTCTCATTTCGTTCCAAAATCGAAATTTTATGACTTTTTACATTCCAAATCACTATTTAGTCCAACATACCTTCAAAGACAAGGGTATTTTTTATATTTTTGACAATAGTTGTTTTCGCCATACCCAGCTTGTGTTCAATAAACATAAACATGGTATCTACAACCCATTGGGATTCTAAAGAGTTTTCTCTTCTTTTTTTTTTGGACTAAGAGTTTTCTAATTCTATGCAAAATATAGCGTGGGGGTGGTGTTACTTTCATTGATCTAGTTGACAGCTTGTAGAGAGTCCATTTGGAGTTGGACTTTTCTGAAGCCCAGATTCCATGCAAATCTAAGCCCAAAAAAGCAATGTTGTCACACCCGAATTTTAAAACGGACCGGTGACAGTTAGGGGTTACTGGAAGCCCGTAACATAAAATCGGATGATGTCATCGGGATGTCAAAAATACATATATATTGTAAATAATTAAATACATCAATAATATAAAGTATTTATTAAGTAAAAAAAAAAGTTGAAGATTTGAAGTGCTAAAAATATAATGAACTTAATTATCTTTAATAAATCAATTTTAGAAAGTATAGATTTTTTTTAACAAAAATCTAAAAAGTATAGTGTAATCAAAATTTATTAAAATTAAACGAAAAAATTACTTTAATTTTAAGTTTATAAATAAAAATTAAAGTAATGGGGTAGTGGCTTTGCTGGGCTTGGGACAGGAACAAAAAAAATTGGGGAAGAAACGAAAGGAAAAAAAAAAAAGGCACACGTATTTTTTCTTTTTAAAGAAAAGGTAAAAATGAAAAAGCCGGTTCAACTAGTTCACACTAGTTCACGGTTCGACTGCGGTTGTTGACCGACTTTGACCGATTTTCTCCTATTTCGGGTTCCAGTTATAATCGGACCGGTTAAGAGACTGGTTCGCTATTTAACCAGTTGAACCGAACGGTCCGATCCGAGTCTGACAACACTGCAAAAAAGGCGCCCACCGCATTAGAATAATAGACAAAAAAAAAGGTAAAGAAGAAAATATGTTAGCCACAGGCCCAATGTTAAAAAGTCTGGCATTGGCACTAAGTGAAATTAAACAGCCCACGTGGAGAAGTATGTCACGAATAGAGGTTAGATTTCAGAGGATTGAGAAAAAGCAAGGCAGAATTCAAAAAGAAGAAAATTTAGGGTTGAGGGATTGAAATTGGGAAGAAATGGAAACGCGGGAGAAAACAGAGTTCGGTCAAAAATATTCATTAATTGATAAAATTTACAAAACAGTAAAAGGAATATTTAAACTAATCATTCAGACAATAATTCTAATTACTAACATATCCCTCCAATTTACAAAAATCTAACAAAACCCCAAGGGCATGACAAAGTACCAGCTGCTCTTATGTGGCTCAAAAAACTGGCCCAAAAAATGAGAATGCAAAAGGCTGAAGATCATCTAGTTTCATTACTTCAACTCAATTTGAAACATTTTTGGCTCTTCCATTCCCTGGCTAATGGAAGCTGCATCAGTGTTTGCACAACTTAATCGCTTTCCTCAAAGCTCAGGTCACCAAACCAGCATATGCAGATTGCCAAGAAGCTTCAACAATGAGCATTTTAAACCAATATTTGTCATACCAAGAAGAAACAATGGAATTAGCTTACAGAGAATGAGAAGATCAAATCCAGTATGTTCTGCTGTCACTGAATTCTCTGGTTTCCCTTCAGACCCGGGCCAGGCTGTAATCACTTGGCAAATTGTAGTTGGTTCCCTAAGTAACTCATCTTAAAAAATTTCATGCTCCCTATGTCTTACGGGGTGATTATTTTTTCGTGTTTACCACAAATTACAACTCTTACATTTTGGGGGCAAGAACAACTTGGAGGCCTTAAACTGATTAATGAACTTTTTCAGCCGGCGTTACACAAAACTTTTGTGGTGGCTGGAATCGAGTTCAGCAAAAGAATTGTAAGCACCATTTTTTTTTCACATTAAAAGCAGTTTTTTAAGTGTGCAATTTAGCTTTCATTGTGTTTGTGTGTGCATCTATGGTATATATGCAGGTGAAACAGAGACAATGTGAAGTGTGCAGAGGGTCAGGTCTAGTTTTAAGGGCTGACAAACAGTACATCCGTTGTCCTGGCTGTGGTATGAATTATGATCATCATCACCTTGTTCTCTCTTTCAAATTATTTGCTGATTCATGTGATTGAAGTTCCAAAGAGGCTCAATTTTCTTTGTGGGCTGTATTCAAAACATTGTCTTTTTCAGGTGGATGGCTGCCATGGCATTCTTGGAAGAGATTCTTCACTGGCTTATACTAAATTAGGTTCTGGCAAATCAACAACGCGGGATGTAAAACAGGTCCTGTGTTATAGAAAGCACCAGTGTAATGATTTTCTGGTTATCTGAAAATTTCAAAGGGAATATAATTGGAGAAAAAAAAAAGAAAAAGAAACATTATTTCCCAAATAGAGCAGATTAGCATAACATGAGAACTTTATAACATGTATTGTAGAGAGGTGTATTTTTGCTATCAAAGATACCTAAAGAAATCGAGCCCTTTGTTTTGAGTGTGGGCACGTACTACACAAAACTTTTGCAAAATCATCGTCATCAGTGAAAATAAAGACATCGTTTTTTTACGCAGTCACTCCTCTATCTAACCACTTCATAAAATGGCTGTATGGCTGCAAAAAGCTAAACCACGTTTATTTATTCTTTTTGGAGTTGATCATCAAGGCTGTCGATAATCTGCTAAAAAGTGATGTAGGTTTGGTGATGAAGTAATTGAATGGTTTGGTATTATTATAGAACAAGCGAGCAATTCCTCATTTGGGTAGACATTCAACACAACTGAAATTGTCATTTTCCATTAAAAAGGCTAAATTAAACGACATCACAAAATCGAAGGAAAAATCAAAGCTTCTCTGCAAAAATATCCATTTTCATCCTATAGGAAGGCGGTAAAGGTTTGCATCTTTTCTGCCACACCAAAACCCTCTCATCATTCAGTCAAATCAACTTGAAAGATGGGTATTTTCTTTGTTAGTTTGACTCTCTTCTTCTGCCTTATCATTCCACTCCATTCAATTTCAACTTCAGTTCACTTCAAAGAAGGCCACTCTTTCAACCAAAACGGCTTCAATTCCCAGCCTCAACAGTATTTAGAAATCACCAGACCCTTGCCCTTTGACAGCCTCGAAGCATCTTGCACCCTCCCAATTCTCAGTCACAATTTCAGCAACACCTATGGTCTTCCCCCTGTTTCAGTCCCTTACTCGCCGCCTTCCAAGTGCAGATGGACGAATGTCGTCCTGGAGATCCGTAATTCTTGCCATGGTTTACAATTCGATCGGATTGCAGCCGTCTGGCTCAGCGGCGCGGAGCTGATCCGTACAAGCACAGCTGAGCCGACGGAGGAAGGGATTTTCTGGGTTGTACGTAAAGATGTCACCAGGTACTCGTCTCTGTTAGGTCAGGACAACCTGACACTGTCAATGATGCTTGAGAATGTTGTTGATGATCACTACACTGGGATTTTTCAAGTCAATATTACATTCCATTATTACGATACTTCCCCTCACCGCACCCCGCTAGCCCAGGCCCCGGAGGATAGTGTTTGTCCTCTGATTGATGTACCTGGAGACAGCGAAATTTACCATAGGACTAGTAGGGAATTGAATGATATTGGAAAGGGTTCTTTTGAATTATATGATAGACCTGCTGATTTGATTCTTCCAATTTCTTCCGGTGGAGAGGATGGATTTTGGTTTAGGATTCAAAACCAATCCCAGATTCATTCTAAAAGGCTGGAAATCCCTTCTAATACTTACAGGGCTGTGATAGAGGTGTATTTGTCAGGTCACGGGGATGACGAAGTTTGGTACGCAAATCCTCCTGATGGTTACTCATATGTAACAGGGGAAACAGAGGCTGAGTCAAAGTATGGTCATGGTGCACACCGTGAGGTGTTGGTGAAATTGGATGGGGCTCTTGTAGGATCAGTTGTACCCTTTCCAGTGATATTTACAGGGGGAATCAACACTTTGTTTTGGGAACCTGTGGTAGGCATCGGAGCATTTGATCTTCCTTCGTATGATCTTGAGTTGACACCCTTTTTAGGCCTGCTTCTTCAAGGAAGAAAGCCGCATTCTTTTTCACTTGAAGTGTCGGATGGCATCTCATTTTGGCTTGTCGACGCCAATTTGCACCTCTGGTTGGATCTTGGCTGGAAGCAAGTCCGGACTGGAACAGAGTCCAGTGTACCCGAGTTTTCATTGGAACGTCGTTCTCAACTTGGTGTACTTGACCGAGAATTTGAAATTGATGCTGAGAGGAAGGCTAAGGTTTTGGGGTGGATGATCACGTCTGCTGGCTATTTTACTACCTACTTTGAGCAGACACTGAAGTTCCAGAGTGGGGTCAAGTACACGAAAAACAATGGTGTAAGAAAGATGGTGGAGCAGAAAGTGAAGGACAAGAGTGAGTTCAGCATTAAATCAGGGAATGGTGAAGCAGTGATATTTCATACCAGTACTGAAAGAGAGTTCGGTTTGAAATGGAAGGGGTTGACCGCAGCAAAGGAAAGAAACGCTATTAAGTGGGCAAATGCAGTAGAAATATGGATGGAAGAGAAGAAGAGGGTGGGAAATTTATGGAGCGTTTTGAGGAACCGCCAGAATTGCAGTGGGTGGCATCTTTACCATGATAACGGGATTCATTTAAGGAAAGCATTCACTCACCAAAATTATAGTTTCCAAGAAGAGGGATCAAAGTGCTACTCCCGGATGGTTACTGCGGAGAACGGATTCCTTGTCGGGGATAGCATCACCACTACTTCATACATGCGTTAATTAACCCATGTGATAATGTTTGTGTTTTAAGACTCCTGATTTCAAAAGATTAAATTCAATCCCTGATGTTTAAGAGGAGTTTCTAGTTTTAAATAAAAAGAAATAATAATATCATTGCCACCACTTCCATTCTTAACTATACAACAAGGGGAGTTTATATATCTTGTTACATAATGAAAGCCTGCAGGTGGCTAAGAAACTTTTAAAAATCTCATGATTCGCCGCACAAGCAAAGGCACCAATCTTTCCCTACGCACAGAGAGTAAAAGGGATCAGGATGACCTTCAGCCGCGCACGCGTCGATGCAGTCGGGAGATTGCGTTCCTCTTCTGCATTCGCCTTTGTAGGTCTTCGATCTTTCATAGCAAGCTCCCACTTCCACCCCCATTTCACCTGTTTGATACATTTAAGGAGTTTAGACTTTGTTACATCACTTGTTGCCAAACCTAATATCTGGAAAATTTTGATTTGGCTCCCAACACGATGTCCCCCAGTCACCCACCCTATGGCTAGGCATCTCTGTTTGATTTTATGTTGAATAGAGAGAGATACTTACTGGCGGAGATGAATAGGAGCAACACCAAAATGCTGCCAATCAACCTTCTGTCCATCTTCTTTCGTTTCCACTTCTTAATTTTGTCTCCTGCGTGTGTGTTTTGCTTCTGTGGTTTTTCTTTTATCAACTTTGATGTCTCCTCTGTTTGAATATTATGTTGGTCAATTTTATAAACCATGATTTCAGATTGGTGTAATCTATGCTTCGTCAAATGCCATTCTTGGCCCTCATTTACACATCTTTGGGAGTTACCTTTGAAAATAGATTACATTATTGGAATAGAGATTACAGTGGTAGTTCGAGTTTCCTCCAACCAAGGAGTATTAACTATCCAGAACCATGAATTATACAGGTGTCAACAACATACCAATATAATTTTGTCTCTACACAGATAACCAACTTTTGTTTTAACCTTTGTATTTTCAGAGATTTCTCATATCTTTCTGCAAGTCTAGCCTGACAATAAAGATCTTTGTCCGATCTTTGTCTGGTTATCGGAAACTTCAACTACAAATATCGATGGAGCAGAGAGAAATATGAATTCCTAAATTGAGCAGATTGGAAACTTATATAACTTGAGAACTTTTACAATTATAAAAATAAAAAAAAAAAAAAAAATTACTAACGTAGCAGGGAGACAGGTAATTTGCTGTAAAGATACCTAAAGAACTGAGCACTTTTACAATCGGGAACTTTTCAACTTCATCATCATCATCAAGTTAAAAAGCTTTCTGTATCCTATTTTTACAGAGTGACCATTATCTTACAACATGAGCAGCTTTTTTTAAAAATAAGACTGCAGAAGCACTCACAACTCAATGTATCAGACACAGCCCTAAAGCCTTTTCATCATTCACCCCCACCAACCATCAGAAAACACAGATGGAGGGATTATTTGTTTCTGTTATTTGTTGTCAGAAACATTTCATGGTCCCAAAAGTATTCTCCCAATATTTTGTGGATGTTGGTTTGGAGCCTGTAAACCTGCATTCTCAAAGCCATTATTATCAACCAAATTTTCCCTTGATCCGTATAAGTTTATACTGCCATTTACAACGCCGTAACATGCGGGTAATGCTGGCGATTGAGCAACCATCCGAGTGGAAGGGTTATGGTGGATACGGCTTTGAGCATGTTCAGAATTCAGCATTTGTAGCTGACTGTCGGATCCATGGTGCTCAGAACCATAGCTCCTACCTACCCCGAGGTCAAGGCTTATTGGGTTGTTCTCTTCTGGTCTCATTCGCGACATTCCACTCATTGTTGTTGCTGGTCCTGCCATGTCATGGCTACTTGTCCTTGCAGTTGGCACGTCATGATTATGTTTTCCTTCATATGTGGTAATAACGGCTTTTGGATCATGGGATGCTCTTTCAACATGTTTTCTTACTGGACAGCCTGCTTGTGTGCACTTGTAGTAACTCCTGCAGCACATACACAGGGTAAGAAGGCCACAGAAAAAATAAAGTCCACATTTACATGGATGGCACACTCCCACGATGAGCTAAGATCATAAGCAGTCTTGAAGCTAACGATAAATTGTTGTGTACCTGGGATTAGGATTTCCTCGAACCACTTTCTGCCCGTATTTACGCCATCGATATCCATCATCCAGTATATCCACTTCACTTACTGTTTGGACAACCACCCGCGGCTCACGGATAGGCTTAACCACAGGTGTAACCTCTAGTGTACCATCTAATCTCCTGCATACGAATTTCACAAGAATCATAAGATTTCTATAGCATTATCCTTGGAAAATTAAGGTCAATCTGGAAGTACTATACCTTCTCTTTGAAAAAGGATCCTCTTCCTCAATATCATCATTAACACACTGCAACTGCGACATTGTGCCATCCAAACCATCATCATTTTCTTGTTGAGGAGAAGGGACCGGAGTGCCATTTGGCTCTGCACTACCATGCTGGAAATGGATATTCGGCTTGTCTTCAGAAAAACAAAACCAAAGGATAACTATTTAACTCATCGTATGGCGCACATCAAGATGAAAGAAAATATCAGAAACTGCTCACAACTTACCTTCTTGACCAGTTATAGCCAAATCTTTGTCAAATTTCTCTTCTTGGATGGAAACAAGAGTACCAGGAGCAAACCGACGGCTTGGTTGGGGCTTAGGATGATCATGTGAACCCTTATAGACAATCTCTGTTATTTGCCCATCTGGTGCACGTTCAAATATCTTTTTTACCTCACAGTTAGGATATGTACATTTATAATAGCTTCGAGGAAATTCACTTCCTTTAACAAGTTTTTGCCCATATTTTCGCCAGTTATATCCATCTTCGGATGATCTGTCGCTCACCGTGGAAGATGTTGCATCTTTGTGATCAGAACTTGACACCTGATTATTGGCAGTAGGATGGCTTTTCTGACTTAATGCATCTGAATCAGCAGTAGCAGTAGTGCTCACTGACGATGGCTGTGTCGGGGCAGTTGTGGAAAAGCTCAAGTCTTGTGGCATCATTACCTCCGATTTAACCAAAGATGCCAATGACTGAGGACGGAATGAATCCAAAACTTGTCTATGATGGTTTAAACCAGATGAAACCTTACAGAATATTTTCATAAAATGTCAGAATTCCAGTACTCTGGCGAAGCAAAGTAATTCACTTCTCTTAAAGTTAAATGATCCATTCATTGATAATTTGATGTCATAAACTTGACGACTTTTTTAAAGTCAGGAGATATTATCACATTGAAAGACTGAGTAGCAAACCAGTCCACTATAAATCCCATGCAATTACAATTAGAACTTTAACATAAACTGAAACTTCTCTTTCAATTCCACACCAGGATTCATGAGATGCCTCAAAAATGGGAAAAGACATTCTAAAATACATTAAGGCCATAGCCACAGGAGTTGTCTAAATCAACTTTTTATTTATTCTCATTGGTAAATTCCCAGAATAGGACGTAGATGAACAAGAATGCCTAATCTTTAGAAGATCAGCGTTCAACTACATGGTACATACGCAATGAAAGAAAACAAAAGAAAATCATTTAAAACCCCTTGTTGATAGATAAATAAAAACATTTATAGAGTTGAAGGGACAAAAGATTACCCCAATTCCTGTTAGTTTTGGTGCTGACGCAGCACTAGAACCAGGGTGGAACTGAAACTCAAAGTTGCTGGAACTTGATTCACTAATCCTATGGTTATTATGTTGATTTGCAGTCAGTAAGAATCCTGGAGCCTCATTAGAGCCTTGCATCAGTTGGGGCAACAAAAAGGTTCCTGTAGTTGGAGAAGGCTCAGCCTGAAAAAACACAAAAGAAAGCTTTACCAAGCTAATCACAAAATTCTCTACTCAGCTACCAGACTCTGGCATTTAACTTCGGATTTTCTAAGCTGATTTCCTTCAAAAATTCTTTCATATTTCTGACAAACGTAGCGACTTCAATAACCGCTGTTTTGAATTTAATAAACACCTACTAGTCTATAACAACGGTGCTAAAGAGTTTCATATCAAAGAAGTACTAAAAGTTGTTCTCTCATTAATAGGAACAATTTCGAACATGACTATATATAGTGAAAACATCATTTGCCTCCTTGGAGCAACATGATGGGAGAAAAAGCAAAAGGTTTTGAAAGTTGGAAAGCATGAATCCAATACGTGAAAAAACCACAGCGAAACTTGAGAAGAGAACCCATAAAAAAAGAATAAAGTTTTTTAGAAAACTTCGAGAATAATTCCATGAGCAAACAATCATACTACACCTATGTGGGAGCATCAGAATCCTACGGCCCTCGGGCACCCACAGTAGCACTTAAATTTACACATTTTAAACTCAATATTCTCAACATGACAGATGATAAAAACAACATAGCCATTAACCCAACAAAGTAAAATGTGATGAAAAGAACCAAACATCCACATATTAAAACCAAGTATTCTCTATAAGCAGCTAGCTCCCTAGATTCCCAAAAGGAAAAAAGAAAAAAATTAAAAATACATTTTCAACCCAAACGTGTTTGATGCAGAACCTTACATCAAATCAATACTACAAATGGAACTACTGCATCCATGGCTCCAGCGCAGCCGCATTTAACAAAGTGTACCCATCACATTCACATCTTTCTGACGTAACCAAACAGCTCAGTTTCTCAACACACCTGATGTCAACAACATCCCCCATCCCCAAATACCCCCACAAACACAAAGTGGGGAAAAAAGAAACCAAAAAATTGAGTAAAAATTAAGCTTGAGGAGTAACCAAGTTTTGATTTTTTTTTAAAAAAAATACATTTTTTACAGCCCTCCAATCACTCACTAAAAACCAGTGCCATGGATGAAACAGAAAATGGGTTCCGGATCGGAATCTGAATCTTTAGCAAAACCCACTTACCATTAACATAATAATTACTAGTACTACCACTAAAGCTCAAAAATTTATTCTCCCACAAAAATAAGAAGAACAAAAAGAACGACTAATAAACGATCCACTCAACTCAGAACAAAAATTAAAAGTAAAAAAAAAGGGCAAACCTTGATGTTGGAAAGCAAGACAGGGGATTCGAGAAACGAGGTGGGACTAAGCCCAGGTGGGATAGTTAGAGTACAAGGTGACCTAGAGATCGGGAGCTTCGCCGGAGACATAAGCTTGTACCTAGCTCCTCCACCACCGCCGCCGCCGCCGCAGGTGGAGGAGCTGGGGTAACCACCACTAGCAGCAGCTGCTGCTGCCTCGGAGTAGCTTCCGCTCCCTTCCCTGCTGAGCTGGCGGCCCTCCATTTCCTCATTGAAAGAAACCCGACTCCCTTCTTCTTCTTCACTGAATCGTGATTGTTGCGACGTTTCTTCCATGGCAAAAAAAATAAATAAATAGAAAAATAGAGAAAAAAGGAGAGCTTGGAGCCCAGCTTTGTGTACACAATGAAGACAAAAGGGGGAAGAAAGAAAGAGGAGATAATATGGAGTTTTGTAAATATGGAGGAAAGGGTTTTTTTGGTAATTAGCATAAATATGGGTAGTTTAGTCATTTGGACTTGTGGAATGTAGTGTACACACATTAGCTAGTGGACTAGTTTAATCAGCTTAAACTCACATTGTAAACTTGTGATTCGTGGAATTAAAAATGTGGCTGTATTTAATGTGATTTTGTCTCTTTCTGGATTTTATTTTATTTGGATTTTGGAAAATTTTGGTGTTGAAATGTGTCTATATATGTTTTGAGATTGAGGTTCGCTTACTAACACAAATGAAACTAGATTTATTGGCTAAATATGGAAAGCATCTTTTCTTTGATTTGGTGGTACTTAATTAGAATGATGAAGCATGATTAGTTCCTATCAAATGAGATGAAAATTGATGATGTTGTAATAGTATGAGTATAATAAAATGAGGTCCAAATATTTTTATTATCTTTTTTTAATAATGAAGGAAGATAAAAGTCTAAAAATCAGTTCACTGTAATACTTGGATAAATTATCTGAGTATATGGTTAGTTATTCAAGTACATAAAACTGAACGAAAATTAAAGGTCGATGATAGGTTTCTGAAATCAATTATCAGTAGGGTGTTGGTCCATTTTTCTTTCTAGAGAGAGAAGCTCCTCCTTCTCTGTAGAAAAAACCCCTCTTCAAAATTTCTTCCTCCTCCCTCATTCACTATTAATGGTGGTGGATAGGAGAGTTCAAATCTTTTACTTTGATTTCTAGTTTTAGTTTGTTTCTTCCCGTATGTGGAAGTTTCCTCTCCTTTTATGAGGTATTGTTCTTCCATATGGAAGTTTTAGTTTATCCCACTTAGGAAAGATTTTTTCTTTAGATGTACTTTCAGTAGGTTCTGTTCAATAGATCTGATTCAGAAGAAAAAGATCCACAGCTCCCTGAAAAGATTAAAGATAAATATGAGGTTAAATGATTTTGCAAATGAAGGATCTATATAGATTTGAGACTTCTAGCCATATAGATCTGAATTGTCGATTTAGATCTGGAGTTTTAGTCCCTTCTGAGCAATATTTGGATTTTATTTGTAAAAGTGTATTATTTCCTATTTGTATTTCTTGTGCTCTTTGGACTTTTTTTATTCTGTTATTATAAATTTTGCTACAATTTAACCAATTTAGCTTAGCTTAAGATTGTACACAGTGTTGGGATTGTCCATCTCTTTTTCTATGACTAGATATAACGCGTAAGGCAAATTGTAATATTTTAACCGTAGGTTGCTATAACTCAACACACCGTTGTTGTACTTATTTATTTTCTTTATATATGATTATCGCTTTTGACAAAAAGAAATGATAGGTTTCTGAAGTGCTGAAATCTCAAAATGTACATTCAAGAAATTTGTAATAAATCAATTATTTTATGGTTATTACCCGTACCAACCGACCACAAATTATGACGTAGGTCACAAATCCATCTCCAACAATGCTCATATTATCCATTTTCACAATAGGTGCGGTGGACAAAATAGCATGAAGTCAAAATGTAGTTTTATGCTACTCTTCTAATCGCTGGAATTCTGATTGACATTCTTCGTACTCAGTAATTTTTTCTCTTCGCTAGATAATTTAGTGAAGAATATCATTGCCTAGGTAGTAATGTTTTTAAGTCTTAGAATGGATTTGACTGGGCGCTTCCAAAAGTAACTTTCATTTGTTACCGTTAATCCCCTTTTCGTTTTTTTCCCTCTTCTAATCCAACCCATGAGTAAATTAAAGCGTATTATTGTTAGTTTGGTGTAATTAGGCTTAATTTTCAGTATATATTATATAATATAAACACAATTGTCACCAACATGACAATACAGTTAGAAATCCAATTAAAATAATACAACATCCAAATATGCGGCAAAGAGAGAGATGTTAACTGATTTAGACAGAAGATTAGAAGAGTGGCTAATTTTAAGTGTGATTTTTGGTGAAGAAAACCACACAATTAGGTGACTAATCAATAGTTAGATCAATAAGATCCATAGTACTGGTGAAGAATCATTATTCACCCCTTTTTGTTAGTGCCTTGACAACCTACCATAGTGAAAACTAAAATCATTTATTTAGAGGGGACTACTTATTCCAATGATTACACAACGATGCAAAATATCTCTTTGTTTTCTTCCTTATATCTCTTTTTTTTTCCCCTGTAATTTAAATAAATATTCATCATATTTCAAAGACCGATACCAGTAAATAAATATTAATTTCATTTAAGCGCGTGTATCTAGTGGCAGACCAAGCAGGTAGTAGGACAAATAGCCTAAGCCCTTTGGAGCACCGTGTGATAGCCCAGATATTTTTGAAAAAAAATAAAAAATAAAAAAAATTGTGCATAGTATTCCAAAAAAGAATAATAATAATAAGAAGAGTAGCCCACAACTCGACAGGGCCTTCAAACCACGGAAGCATGGATACACAAACCGGCCTCGAAGCCCAACAAACAGACGTTTAAGCTTGCTCATCATTTTCAGGCTGTTACAGTTGATTGACCGTGCTTGTGATTCTGACCCATGATAAAGGGGAGGAACAGGCAAAGAGAGACAAGGATATAATTAAATATGTCCTAAATTTTATTTAATATATTTCTTAAATTAAAAATAATATTTCATAATAATCAAAAAAACACAATAAATGTGAAAATATACTTTTAAAATTTTATTTTCAATTAAAAAAATACTAAATAAAATTTAGTATAAATTAAAATGTCTTATAATAAGAACCGGAGGGAATCAAAAAGAAAATATATATACATAAAAAAAAGTAAATGAAAGAGTAAAGGACTTAACAATGAATTTAAATTCACTCTTACTGTTCCACCAATTCAAAAAAAAAACTCTTACTGTTCCTCTCCTTCCTATTGTCTACATCCTACATCCAGAATTTATTTGATCGGAAAGTTGACAAATGCAATTCACCAGGAAAAAAAAGAAAGAAAGAAAAGAAAATGGTTAGAAAAATTGACACAATAATTGTTTTCAATGTAAACTGAATTCGTATACGGCATAAACAACTTCAGTGCAAATAGTAAAATTCTAGCCTATGCATATTCTCTGTGGTGTCAAGAAAGTGAACTAATAATACTTTCTCTGTCTCAAAATTATTGTCCATTTTGACATTTTATTTTTAGTACAATTTGTACTGAAAATGAAAATCTAAACTGGACAATAATTTCGGGACGGAGGAAGTACTAATCATCCACACAACTGATTAATGGTGCAAGCTACCTAGCGAGCTCTTAGTTTTGTTTTTGAAGAAGCGATTCTATCATGTAAGGTGTACTCAAAAATCCAACCTCCAGTTCATCAGAAAGCTGGAGACCAAAGTCTTGTTAGCTAAGAAAACTCTAACCATCTACAATTGGACCCGATATTCTTCTCGCAAATAACCTCAATGGGGATGTTAGCATACCCCTCATAATCCACAACATCCACAATTAAATTTCTTCCAGTAAATGTTTCCGGAGCAGGCTGCTTACTGTTGGCATCCCTCTCCTGCTGAGCTGAAATGAATTTCTCATGAATCCCATGAGTCATGGGGCCTGATTGCTTACCAACACTGTAACTTGCGGGTAATGGTGCCGTATGAACTCCTGCTCGAGTGGAAGCATTATGAGGGATATGGCATTGAACATGGTAAGGATTCAGCATCTGCAGTTCACCCTCGGACCCATGGTGCGTAGAACTAGAGCTCCTACCTACCCTGAGGTCAAGGCTTATTGGGCCATTCTCTTCTGGTCTCACTCGTGACATTCCACTCATCATTGTTGTTGATCCCACCGTTTCATGGCTACCTGTACTTGCCATTGGCACGTCATGATTATGTGTTCCTTCAAATGTGGTAATAACGGTTTTTGGATCATGAGATGCTCTTTCCACATGTTTCCTAACTGGACATTCGGCTTGTGTGCACTTGTAGTAACTCCTAAGCACATTTACATGGTAAAAAGTGCCACATGGAGAAATTTAAAGATGCATTTAGATATGACTTCTACAAGAAGAATTTTGTTGTTCAACTTAGATAAGGAAACTGAGAGTCATCACAATAAACCAAGTTGATGTCATAAACAATCCCGAGGTGTTAAGATCACAAACAGTAAATCGAACTTTATGTGAATTATTATGTACCTTGGATTCGGATTGCCTTGAAGTAGTTTCTGGCCATATTTGCGCCAACAATATCCATCATCCAGTATGTCAACTCCACTCAATGTCTTAGCAACCACCGGTTTGCAGATATGCTTAACCAAAGGTGTAACTTCTAATGTGGCATCTAGTTTCCTGCTTTAAGAGTTTTATAAGCATCATAAAACTTCAAATCATCAACCTTAGAACATAATTTGGTCAGTCCGAAAGTATTTTACCTCCTTTTTGAAAATGAATCATCTTCATCAACATCGCCATTGACACAATGCTTTTGTAACATTGTACCATACAATCCATCTTCACTTTCTTGTTGAGGAGATGGATCTGGAGCATTACTTGGCTCGGCACAACCAGGCTGGCAATTGATATTTGGCTTGTCTTCATAGAAATTGGTACAAAGGGTAAAATTAATTCAGCATGTGGCACACAGAAACAGTAAGATATATTAAAACTTCCAAAAGAAAAAAAAAATACAAAGCAAACTTACTTTCTTGAACATTTGAAGCTAGATCTTTATCAGATTTCTCTTGTCGGACGAAAACAGGAGTACCACTAGCAAATTGACCTTTTACTTGGGGCTTAGGGTGATCATGTGAACCCTTATAGACAGTTTCTATTATTTGTCCTCCTGGTGCACTTTCAAACATCTTTTTCACCATACAGTTAGGATATGTGCATCTATAATACCTACGAGGAAATTCATGTCCTTTAACAAGTTTTTGCCCATATTTTCGCCAATTATAACCATCATCTGATGACCTGTCACTTGCACTGGAAGGAAAATTCATCCATGTCAAGAAACTTACAAACATCATTAAACATACATTTTCTCTACATTAGAACATAAATGGTCAATCTGCTAGTACCTTACCTCTTTGAAAATGGATCATCTTCATCAACTTCACCATTAATAAAGCGCTTTCGTGGCATTGTACCATCCAATCCGTCATCGGTTTCTCGTTGAGAAGATGGGACTGGAACATTACACGTCGCACTACCAGCCCGGAAATTGATATTTGGCTTATCTTCAGAGAAATTAGCACCAAAGGGTAAAATTTACTCAACATGTGGCACACATTAAAGATTGATGGAAATTTCACAAAAAAATCTACAATTACTTACTTTCTTGACCAGTTGAAGCCAGATCTTTATCAGATTTCTCTTCTTGGATGGAAACAGGAGTCCCAGGAATGAATTGACATTTTGGTTGGGGCATAGGGTGATCATGTGAACCCTTATAGACAATTTCTGTCATTTGCCCCTCTGGTGCACATTCAAATATCTTTTTCACCATACAGTTAGGATGAGTACATCTATAATAGCGTCGAGGAAATTCATGTCCTTTAACAAGTTTTTGCCCATATTTTCGCCAGTTATATCCATCATCTGATGACCTGTTACCCAAACCGGAAGAAAAGTCGTCAGTGTTAAGAAATTTACAAACATTATAAAGCTTGCATTTTGTCAACCTTAAAACATAAAATGGTCAATCTGCAAGTACTTTACCTCTTTGAAAATGGATCATCGTCATCAACATTAACATAGTGCTTTTGTGGCATTGTAGCTTCCAATCCGTCATCACCTTCTTGCCCTGGAGATGGGACTGGAGCGTTACTTGGCTCAGCTATACCAGACTGGAAATTGATATTTGGCTTGTCTTCAGGGACATTAGTATCAAGGGGTAAAATTAATTCAACATGTAGCACACATTAAGACAGATGAAAAGTTCACAAAAATGTACAATTACTTACTTTCTTGACCAGTTGCTGCCAGATCTTTATCAGATTTCTCTTCTTGGATGGAAACAGGAGTACCAGGAGCGATTTGACATTTTGCTTGGGGCTTAGGGTGATCATGTGAACCCTCAAAGACAACTTCTGTTATTTGCCCATCTGGTGCCCGTTCAAATATCTTTTTCACCATACAGTTAGGATATGTACATCTATAATAGCTTCGACGAAATTCATGGCCTTTAACTAGTTTTTGCCCATATTTTCGCCACTTGTATCCATCCTTTGATGACCTGTCACTCACAGAAGAAAAATCCGTGTATCATAAAACTTGCATTTCGTCAACCTTAGAGCGTAAATGTCTGCAAGTTCTTTACCTCTTTGAAAATTCATCTTCTTCATCACCATCAACACGGCGCTTTTGTGGCATTGTACTATCCAATCCATTGTCATTTACTTGTTGAGGAGACGGGATTGAAGCATTATTTGGTTTGGCGCTACCAGGCTGGAAATTGATAGTTGGCTTCTCTTCAGGGAAATTGGTACCAAAGGGTAAAATTAATGCAACATGGGGCACACATTAAGATAAATGAAAATTTCACAAAGATGTGAAATAACTTACTTTCTTGACCAGTTGAAGCCATATCCTTTTCAGATTTCTCCTGTGGGATGGGAACAGGAGTACTAGGAGAAAATTGACGTCTTAGTTGGGGCTTAGGGTGATCATGCGAACCCTTATAGACAATTTCTGTTTTTCGTCCATCTGGTGCTAGTTCAAATATCTTTTTCACCTTACAGTTAGGAGATGTGCATCTATAATAGCTTCGAGCAAATTCAATTCCTTTAACAAACTTTTGCCCGTATTTTCGCCAGTTATATCCGTCATCTGATGACCTGCTGCATACTGTGGAAGAAATTGCATCTTTGTGTTCAGATCTTGGCAACTGATTATTGACAGAAGGAAGGCTTTTCTGATTTAATGCTTCAGAATCATCTGCAAAAGTGGAGCGCAATGACGAATCCTGCATTGGGGCAGTTCCAGAAAAGCTCAACTATTCCGGCATTACCACAGAATGAATCCAAAACTCTTCTTTGCTGGTGAAAACCAGATGAAACCCTTAAGAATATAATTGTAAATCATGTCAGAAGTCCAGTACACTGGTGAAAGAAGTAATCCATTTGAATGATCCATTTAGTTTAGTAATAAATACGAATTTAACTACTTTTCAAAAGTCTGGAAATATATGGGAAGACTAAGAAGCAAGATAATCCACTTCATATTAATAAACCTACAAGAGGAACTTTTAACAAAAGAGAAAAGTTCATTTTCCCTTTTCTCCCTAGGATTGATGAGATTCCTCACAAATGAGAAGAGCATATGTGAAGGCACTTGTTTATGAAATGTTGTCACTTATTTTCATGGACAAGTTCCAAGAACATGATATAGTCTAAATGTCTAATCGTATCTAACTACAAGGCAATGTGAAGAAACAACAGAAAATCATGTTAAAACTCCTGTTCATAAATAACATTATTTATGCAGTTGAAGAGGACAAAACAGTTACCCCTATTCCTGTTAATTTTGATGCTGATGCAGCACTAGAAGAAGCAGGGTGGAACTGAAACTCAAAGTTGCTGGAACTTGACTCGCCTACTGCTACCATGGTGATTTGCAATCAATGAGAACCCCGAAGTGTGATTGAACTCTTGCATCATTTGAGGCAACAAAAAAAAGGTTCCCGTAGTTGGAGCAGGATCAGCCTGAAAGATCACAAAAAGGAATTTTTATCAAACAGCAGATCCCTGAATTCTTCCATTCACCTACCAGAGTATAGCAAGAAACTAAGAAGCATTATGTAATATCCAACGGTGCTAATGAGTTTCATACCAACAAATATTACAGAAGTCACTCTCCTCTATAATCGGAACCTCAATATTCTCAACATGAAATGAGCACTCACATGACAAGAACATTAACCCCATCAAAAGTACAATGAGATGAAAAGAACCAAAACATCCACAATTCCACACACTAAAGCGAAATATTCCCCATTCATAACCTGCTCTCCAGATTCTCCCCAAAAATCAAATACTATGAATACACTGTCAAACTTAAACGTGTTTGATGCAGAGAACCAAACATCAAATGAATACTACAAATGGAATTACTACATTCATGGCTCCAGCATAACAGCATTGTAACAAAAGTGTAACCATCATAATCATATTCATATCTTTCTGACATAAATAAACAGCTCAGTTTGGCAGAAAACCTTCAATCAACAACATCTTTTAATTCATTCACTATAAACAAGTGCCCAGATGAAACAAGACACTGGGTTGAGGATCGGAATCTGAATCTTTAACCATAACCCACCAACCTACGACTGAATACTTGCAAGTTCTACCATTTAAGCTCAGAATTTATTAATTTTCCAACATAAACATGAACGGAAAAAACGACAGATAAAACAATCCACTCAACTCAAAATAAAAATTCACTGTATGAAGAGCTGACCTTGATGTTGGAAACAAAGACTTGGGATTCAGGAAACCCAGCAAGAAATATACTTAGTCAAACTATAATATTTTTTTTGTAATAATCGCTCATAATAGCAGTTTTATAAATTTTTTATTATAGTCAAATAAAATAATTTGTTCTTTTTGGCGCCGAATTGAAACTTTCCTCGCGAATCATCCATGAAGTTAGAGCGACGACTGAATAGGACTCTCTTTTGTCTTTATTATAATTGATTTTGATTTATCTTCATCTAGTAAGAGTATATTTTTTCAATTAAAAGAAAAAATCTAAAATAAGAACAGGGAGTATGTAGTAGATACTTTCTGCTTATTTTTTTTACTTAATTGCAAATACGTAATTGCAGAGAAAATCCCCCTGCTCTAATCTTACTATATATTAAAGGAATTTTTTTACAAGACACATGTAAGTCAATTAGATCATCGATAATTTTAAATTACATGTGTCATATTCTCATTCATAGAGAATTTTATGCAGTCCACATGTAATCTTCTAATTTGCGGATTTTTTTACTGGGTATTTTATGCAAGTAACATAATTAATTTAAACACAGTCAAATGGTTATTTTCTTAAAAAAATAATTTCCTGCGAATTAAAAATTTAAACACAGTCAAATGGTTATTTTCTTAAAAAAATAATTTCCTGCGAATTAGACTTTTGACGTCGGCAATCTCCAAATCATCAATTTGACCACAAAAAAATTCCGGCCACAAAGATCTGTGAACCCGCCACTTCGGATTTTACTTCACATATACATCGAATATAATCTTCATTGCCGACGAAAACATCACCGGATTTTAATGTAATTTTTATTACCGCCGGAAAACATTACCAAAAGATTATACACTGTGAATATCTACCTCGGAATATCCATGATTTCAGCGACTCTATCGATAATACCTCTCTGGCTATCTCTCCTATACAAAGATAAGTGATGAATTCCGTTTATTTGAGGTGCGAGGAGGTTTGATGGGGTGAATTATAGATAATGATAATACCGCGGTGATGATGGATGATGATGATTGATGTAGTTATGGGAGAGAGAGAGAAGAGGGGATGGAGTAAGTGGGGTAATACGGCCAAAGTGGATTAAGAATCCTACACTCTAAAGAAAATTATTGTAAATTTTAAATGTAAAATTTTGTTAATCTTGACACAGAAGGAAAATAAAATAAGTAATCATCATGAACCAAATCTCTAAAAAATCTCTTAAAATTTTGAATTCAGAATGCCGTAATATATCATAGATGATAAATGAAATAATTTCAAGATCAAATTTTGAAAGTTTTCCAAATCAAAATAATCTGTCAAAATATAAATTTCAAAAATTGTCTCAAAAGATAAATCAAGTCTTAATATTAAGATAGCAATGTTTCTTTTTGAAATAGAATATAATACCTAAAATAAATGAAAAATCAATGGTAAAGTAAATATATTTCTTCCTCAATCCTTTTATGTAATTTTCATATTTCTTGGTTTTGAAAAATTTATTCTACTTTTTGAATTTCTCCCATTGCTTAATTTTTAAAAATACTTTCTCCGTCTCAAAACTCAGTGTGAAATATTTTTTTTGAGACTGAAAGACTAATAATTATGAATCTATTAATAAAATCATAATATACATAACGTAATAAAATTTTAGGAGCCCAACAGTATAAATTTGGAGAATTTTTAATATATCATCAATTTTATACAAAAAAAAAGTCCTACCAATTATTGAAAATTATTTAAATTTTGAATTTAAACCACAAACATGAAAATATTTGTCATATTTTATAATCGAATGATGTGAAAAACTGGTAAACATATCCTAAAATTAAGAATATCATTATATAGTAAAAAAGTAATCAACCTATAAATATTATTTACAATTACTTTTTTTCTTTCTTTTTCTTTTCTTTTTTGAAAAAAATAAAATAAAGATTGCGTTCCTTTCACATGATAAGTCTTTGATAACGATCAAAGTTTGAAATTTACATAAACAAGAAGCATAAGTAAAACAATAATCCTTTTTGATTTTGCCTAGTTAGTTTTCTTACAAATTACTCTCTCTGCTCCTTAATATAAGACATTTTGATTTGTTCTAGGTTTAAACTAGTACATATTTTTAATTGGCAAAAAAACCTTAAAAATATTTCATAACAATCAAGAAAATACAACAAATGTAAAAATATATTTTTAAAGTTTTTTCATTAATTAAAAATACGTAGTAGGTTAATCCTAACACAAAATCAAAATGCCTTATATTAAGGAGCAGAGGGAGTATAACATTCTGACATTTTAACACACATAAAAAAGCTCACCAAACTGAAATGATTCTACTATGTTTCCAAGGGTCCTAACTGTGCCAGTTCCACTACTATAACTACAGAGCCAAGTGTTGAAGGGATAAAGGTTGTGTAACTAACAACTAAAGTTCATTCACAAAATTGGAGCCTTTATTCCTTCTTACAAATAACACCATGCAAAACTCTCCGGAGCTGTTTTGGAGGAGGCTGCTTACCGATACCACCTCTCAACTTCTGTCGAGCAGAGCAGTTCAAAGTCGTCTCACTTGTACCGCGAGCTTGCTGCTCGCAAATCCCATTGCTACCTTCTTCTCCCAAGCTACATTGCGTATTCTAGCATCTTACAAGCCAACTGCCAAGGCAAATGAATGTCCAAGCCATCTTATGAGCCGTGGTAGTAGGCAAAATGCTGGGACAGTTCCTCACCTCCTGCCTTGCTGACATGAATTTCTTAGCAAAGCCAATATGCTGACTGGGAGAGCTGAGAGTGGAACAAAACCAAACCAAAATTGGTTTCAGATTAAATAAAAGGCTCATCAATTCTAATCTCTTAGTTGGATTTTGAGTAATTCTACCCATTCCATTGCTTGGCCACTGATTGGAAAGAGAAAGGTAACAGCAGAAATGATTGCATTACTATATCATCATTCTTTCGGTTACCCAGCAACTGAAGTAAATGCACCAACTCTACCAGATATATCTGCATAGGAAATGTTCAAACAATGTTCTAATCGATGCCACTATTCACCAACCCTGCAAACTATGACAAAGATACAAGCTTTAACACTCTACTAGAATAATAGTAGTAATCAGTCTTATAGTATGACATCAATCTCTTCTACCTGCAAAGCAGAGGCAGCTCATTTTCTCAGCATCTTTACAGAGAATGATGCCATGATGCATCCATTGACATCTGAGCAACTGAAGCCCCAGCACATTATCAACTGAAGCCTAATGCAAACGCGCACTTCGAGGATTCAATGCAAACCAACTTTGCAATAACATGTCCTATATTTCAAAACCTACTTAATATATCATGCTGAGATTACTAATGAAGTGAAAGAGGAACTACTGGATTTTTCTTCTAAAATGCATAGAGAGAGGAGAGAAGGGAAGGGGGGGGAGAGAGAGAGATTGCTCGAATTTAGGCAGGGATAGCATACTCTACATAAGAACCAATACTCACTAATGAATTAGTTGGAATTCAAGAGGAAGAGTTTCCTCGTTTTGACATCCAAAAAAAAAAAGAACACTCTTCCACCAAAGGTGCAAGGTGGAGAGATAATGAGTATAGAAGACAAAATATAAACCCAAACCATCTTCACAAAATCACGCTAATGTAGCGTCCTTAACCAATCAATACGCGAACATTAGGACGCCATCCCAAATTATTATTCTGGAAATACCATCAGTTATCACTGACAAAAGAAAAATAATGATCTAGAAACCAAAAGTACTGACTCTGCTAAATGTAGGTGATCAAAAGCATAATGCTTTCTGATAACCACTAGAATAAATACCATTCCTAATAATGAACTACTGAGGATAATAAGCTGGATGGTATTCAGGTGGTAGATAACTGTATCCACTACTATAAACTACTGGCCTATCCAGGTTTCCAGATAAACTCATATGAGTTCGTGGCAATCCATACATGTCAGCAGATGTGCCTGTATGATGTGTAAACGCAGGTGCCGAACCTGCCAAGCCGTATGCTGAAGCAGGTGTATTCAGGTATGGATCTGCAAACACACCAGCCAAATGCGCATGTGGCTGGGTTCCTATCAATTGAACAGTTGTGCTGGCAGCAGCATCCTTTTGGAATGCTGCTGAACCAGTCGTCCCAACTTTCATTGCCTGCTTACCTAAACTCAGCTTCTGTTGCTTTGATGGTGGCTGAGATTTGACTCCAGGAGTCACTGCAGGTCGTTTCTTAGTATTCTTCTCATTTTCTAGCTTCTCCACACGTCTAAGAAGTACATTCTTTGGTAATACTGTATCCAAGCTGTACTCATCTATAACTTTGATAACTGATTTAAGCATACTGATAGCTTTTGCGGTTTCCTCATTCTACACAAGAAAGAAAAACAGGCTACATTAGCATATTGTTTTTAGGTCCATCATCACCGAGCGAAGAACTACATTTAAAACACAACATTACCCAGGACTGACGAAAGTTCTTTCCACTTCGACCGCCAGTGCGACGAGCCTTCTGACCAATCTTTTTGGTCTCAGATATACAACCTCTTAGCAAAGGCACAGGTGGGAACTTTTCTGTCTGCTCAAATTGGAATATGAACTTAACAGCCACAAGAATTTTACCCCCACTAATCAGTTTTGTAATAACGTCTGTATCAAAGAAGGAAAAGGATCATCAAATAATGGATATTCAAAAGAGATTCAAATGAACTCAAAAAATGTAAAGGACAGAAGAGTTGTATGCTTGTAGCTTTTATTTGAGTACAAAGATTCTATAAAGCCTGGGGATGCATTATCGACCAAATTGGCACAGATTTCTGCAGATCAGAAGTAAATAATTACCTACAATTTCTAGGAGCAAGATTGGAACAGTTCCGCTAAATAAAGATACCCCACACACACACACACACACACACACACACACATCAATCACCATGAAATAGTAAACACGATCCTAAATGGGAGAAAAAGAAATGATACAGAACTAATTACGATGAATAGCTGAAAATTGTAACAGCTAAACTCACCACAAATCCTATCCCCAAACCCAATGACACGACACAAATCCACAGCTTGGCGATGCCTAGCAATTGCAACAGCATACTCAACCAGATCATTCATATTAAACAAGTCATTCTCCACCAATCCAAATGTGGCCACCAATTGCAAAAAACACAACTTTTCCAATCCATCGTCATCCCCCTCACTACTAACACCGGCGGCAATATTCCTATTCCATTCAACGGCGATCGCCATAGCCTTCTCTTTGACCTGAGCCCCAATTTCAACCTTAGCCCTCATCAATGCCTCCAGTAAAGCAACAGAAACCCTCCTCAACCCGGTAACATCCGCAACCCCGCCCGACGACCCGTCACCGGTAATCCCCTGCATGGCATCAACGACCAACATCGCAGGGTCACGAGCGTGCTTCCACGCGTCAGCCAGCTCATCCCGAATAACCGCCCGTTCTCTTGGGCGGGCCAGCAAGAAATCCCTCAACCCAAACGAGTCCATCTTCTCACAGAAGGACTTCAATTCAGGTCTCACCGGAACCGGACCCGCGCTCGGGACTGGCTCCGGTACGGACAAGCTGGCTTTTCGTTTCGCCTTTGACTCGGGCTGCGGCGGGAGCGGTTCCGACGTAGCCGAACCGGATTTAATATTCGCCGCCGACTCAGGCTGCGGCGGGGGCTGGGGTCCTTCCGGGACGGGTTTGGCGGATTTGAGGAGGGCGAATTTTGCTTGGAGGCCGGATTGAAGGGAAGTGAAGTAAGAATCGATGTCGGCCCATTTAAGATTGGTAAACGAAGAGGTGGAAGATGATGAAGATGGGATCAATGAAGAATGAGCTTGAAGCTCTTCGAATGCTCTCCTCAGTTGAGCTTTCTTTTCATCAATGGCTTCCAATCCTACTGAGATTGATCTCAATGTTTCCGTCGTCGCCATCTCTGTTCGTTTTCCAATGTCTGGGGAATTGTTTTGTTTTCCCGGTAAATCAAAAGATTGTGTTATACTGTTATTTTTGTGTCTTTTTCTTTTTTTTTGGTCCGTCAAAGCTGCGAACAAACCGAAAGAGCCCCATGGGCCGAATCAGACAACCCGTTCTGTTGTTGGGCTTTTGAACCTGATATAAAAGTTTGAAGAATGGATCCGGCTCACCTTGGTTCTTTCTTTTATTTTCTCAGGAAGCAAAAATAATTTATAAGTTCAAAATATGAAAATAATGTATTAGAAAATCTAATCTCCCAAAACTAATTCATATTGAGTTTTAAAATTTGTACTCCAAATATTGTAAATCTCAACACTCATAATGAATTATTTTCTTCTAGATTAAGGGAACACGTTATGTAGCATTGTAGCTCCGTAGCTGACTTGTTTCTCTGGAAATCTACCCGTACCCAGATGGGGGTTTTTTTTTTTTTTTTTGTTTTTGAAAACTAACTCAGGCACTGATGGGGCAAAATGGCGGTATCAATTGTTGAAACTGAAAGGGATGATTATGCACCCAAATCAGCAAATTATTAATCTGTTTTGGTAATGACCCATACGGGCCTCAACAAACTTGTCAACAAGGGTGTCCAGCTCCGGATTATTAGTACTTCATCCATTTCAAAATGTAAATCTTTTTAGACTTGGCACTGTAAATTAATGAGACAATCATCCAACAATTAATTTATGTGTTAAATATCTTTTTTACCCTTCATTAATTACATTGAAACTATAAACAAGATTAAATGAAAATATATTAGCATTATTTATTGAGGTAAATTTGAAAAAATGGTTATTAATTTGCCTAGAATTTATAAAACGACCTACATTTTGAAATGGAGGGAGTAATTTGTTACTGTTCACATATAGTAAATTTAGATTTTATTTTTATTTTTTTGGAAGGAGGTTTACTTTATAGAATCACTCTGGTAGGCATTAGAATTTCATATCATAATAAGTACTCCATCCATTCTACATTGAAATTTGAAAATTATATTAGTTTCCTCTTCACAATCTACAATTAGTTTTTTTAAAAAAAAAAAATAAAAGGATTGCTTTTTCAGCTTACAATTTCCTAATTTCGAATCATTGTCGGAGCTTTCAAATTGATACTCCGTTTTGTTAATAATCATTGTTCAGTTTATATTTTAGTTAGAATAAAATTTTATATATATAGTACTTATTTATAGTACTTAATTAAAGCAACAAACAAAAAGGATATGTGTCAGCATTATAATGAAAATTTTCCCGCCAAAATCCATTTTTAATACAAAATCATTTTTGACACGTGGCACTCTAACTAATCAGAAAAAAAAGATAGAATAGATAAATACATAAATCCCTTAATTATAGCTACATAAAAATATCTTAATTATAGGTATATACTAATCCCTTAAAATAACAATATTTAGTTGATAAAATCAAATCTTACTATATATTAAAGGAATTTTTTTCAAAAGACACATGTGAGTCAATTAGACCGTCGATAATTTTCAAGTACACGTATCATCTTTTAATTTGTTGAGAATTTTGTATAGTACACATGTCATCTTCTTATTCGTGAATTTTTTACAGGACTTTATGAGTATATTTTATAAAGTAAAATGGTAATATTATTTTTACAATTAACTTTCACCTATTATCAGCTAAAACCTTCAACCTATTGGTGCGGTTGTGGTTGTCACCATGGCGTTGCCTGAGTTGCCGTGGGCATAGGCACCGGATTCTACGTCGTTGCCGCCGTAATGGACACTGGCATAGATGTAGGCGTCCGCGTATGCTTCACCGTTATTCGCGTTGGCATAGGCGCAGGCTTGGCGGTTGTTGGCAGTGGCATATGCATAAGCTTCGTCGGTATAGACGTTGGTGTAGGCAGTTGCGGAAATCGCGGTGGTGGTGGCGGCGGGTAAGTTTGGGGCGCCGCCGGCCGCAATTGCAGTTGCAGGACTTTTCGTGGCACCATTTCTCACCGGCAGAAGAAGAATTAGAAAACGAAAAGGGAGAATTCGGAGCCGGCGACGGACATAAAACTACCGAAGAAGGAGCCGACCAAGAACGCAGAAGCAATCATAATTCTGATTTTGGTTTTGATTTTTTTTTTTTTTTGGATTTTGGTTTTGATTTTCTTTTTTATTTTGGTTTTCATTTTAATTCTCACGGTATTTAAGGAATTTATTTGTCGAATTTATTTTTTTTAATATATGAGATAAGATAATATAATAATTGATAATCATAATTTGTGTACGATACCATCTTCGTCAAAGGAAATTGATCACCATCATTACCGAATCGGTATAATCGGTATGAAAATACATAATTTAATAAATGATTTTTCTTTTTCTTTTTTGGTTTTTGTTTTGTTCCATGTTCATCAATCTTTTTCAAAAAAACTGAAGAAAGAATAACCGCTACAGCTCGCCGGTAACGCCACTAATCATGATTCGTAATTTGTTTTATGCTAATCTTAACATTTGAAGAAATTTAGATAAACCCTATCAATAAAATTGGCATTTTTAAAAAAATAACCAAAGTATAAACAATAATCCGATTGAGCAGAAAAAATTCAACCTAAACTGGTCCTCCAGAAGTCTTAACCAAATATCACAATAAGTTAATGGAGTCGCAGTGGTTCCTAGACTGGAATGAATTAATGTAGGGAAAGTTTTATAATTTTTTATTAATTTAGATTAACAAAAAAGAATGATGGCTTAATTTAGATTAACAAAAAAGAATGATGGCGGAAGTTTTTTGGTTTTGAAGGCAATGATGAGGAGGAGATTGTGAGGAGTTGTGACGGCGGGGAGGATAGGAGAGAGATAAAGAGATTAATTTTAGAAAAGTAGAAGATTAATTTAAAAATATATTATCGTTAGTCAAAAAAATTATCTAAATCACTTGAGAAAAATATTATTAAGTTAAAGTCATATGAACTGAGGCCCACAATTTTATGATGAACGAAAGCCAGCTCCTGCAATTTTGATGCCCCCTCGTGTGATGATCGGAAGCTAGAGTTTTCTGATGAATAGAGGCCAATTTGCCGAGAACACTGAGGCCAGAGATTTATGATAAACATTGGTCAATTAGCTGGAGTTTTTTGAATTCTAATTATGTCATCTATTTAATTATAACTAATCCAATTCTAATTGGAAAGCACAATTGACCGCGGGTTTGAGGTTATTATCCTTATAAATGAAATAAGAAATTAATTTAGAATAATATTTTGAATAGGAAGTTATCTTGAATTATCTCTTTCATTTATTTGATTGATAAGTTTCACTAACTAAAAGATATCCCGCGTGATTATATCCGATAAATTGCATCTCAAAATTTGAACCAATATATCATTCCTTTTGATTTGGCAACTAAATGAAAAAAAAAAAAAACCCTAATGCGATTGTGTTTTGGTCTGTTGTGCTATATATGCCAAATGGCTATTTTCCCGAAGAAGCACACCCTCACGGCCTCACTCAAACAATAACACAGGAATACCATCATCTTCTCTCTATTAATAGCTACACTCATCTTCTTTCTCTCAAAATTAGAGAGAGGATAAGACGAACATGTCAAAAATGTCTGGAAAGGAAAGCAGAACAAGGAAGAAGATCAGAAAGTTTATCACGAGTGGTCACCCTCTTTTCCTCTTTTTTTTTTTGGCTTTATATTTGTTTGATTCAGGGTGAAGATTTTCTGTTGCACAGGTTTTTTACCAGTTATTTGGAAATTTTCCTTTGACGATTATTTTAATCAGTATGAAAGTTGCAAAAATCTCTTAAACACAAAGTGGGTTCAATTTCATTTTCAATATTTATAATAGTAATAACAAAAAAAATGAGTTGTTTTTGGATTTGGACTCTTCAGGTTCTTTCTCTTATCTTTTTGTTGCATCTTTTAATTAATTGGATGCAGGGATTCTAGAAAGTATTTGTTATGATTCACTGATCCGTTTTTGAATATTTTAGTAAATTTTGATAATATTTATGGGTTGCTCTTTTTTAGTTAAATAGAAAATCGAAGAGAAACACATGCACATGTGCTTCCTTGAAAACACATATACCATATACATGTTCCACCGCTAACCCCTCCTCCAGAAACCATCAAAGTTTTTGGAGCAGAAGTGGCCGGTTTGTTTCCTCCGGACACGAACTAAGTTATTGGACTGCACCATACTAATACGCAATTGGAGCTATGTTGCCGCAAATTCGTATGTAAATGAATTCATGAATGCGGTTTTTTTTTCTTAGAATCTAAACAAATAATTATCTTTCTTTGTGATCATGTATTACAGTATATCCTTTTCATCATTTGATTTTTATGATATGTTCAGATTCGTAGAATTTAAACAAACAATATCAATATGTAACGCTTATTATCTCAAATTGTTCCATGTTCAATTGAGGCCGTTATTTGATAAAAAAAATTGTATAGCCAACAGTTTTTTAATCAACAAGAAGAAAGAGAACATATGTTTCGGATAGACATGAGGTGAAAATATGCAATACTCCATTATATCAATTACTGATTTATTATTTTCTTTTTATGTTCTTTGCAAATTCTTGGCTACTCTAAAACAGGGAAGATCGACACTGAAAAAAAAAGATACTCCCTCCGTCCCATAATTATTGTCCAGTTTTACTAAAATGAATGATTTAATTTTTAGTCAAACGTAACAATATTTTACCTTGAACAACCGGATATACCCCTACATAAGTAATTGTTTAACCACAAAGATTTTATGGATAATATTTTTTACTAAGGACAAATGTGTAACTTGATCCATAAAAAGTCAAATTGGACAATAATTTTGGGACAAAATTTTTTGGGCAAAGTGGACAATAATTATGGGACGGAGAGAGTATGTAATATGTTAAAAGTTTCTATGTGCTTCCTTCGGTATCTTAAACATTGGGAACTTTTTCAAATCAAATTTCCGCACGTTAATATTTTTTTTTTTAATTATGTTAAAGTTTGTTTTCTTTTTTTTTTTTCTTTTTAAAACCTCAAATTTTTTTGCTTGATATTTATCATATGCAGTAGAAATGTAGAATTGTTATAAATTTGCCTTTTTAGGCTGGGTAATTTACTACGAAGATTTAGTCACTGTATTTTGTCACTATTTTTATTCACTATATATATCATTTTTCAGAGTTTAATTTTTTCTTGAATCTGTGTAATTATTAAAAAAGTGATCATATAGATTAATTTAATCGAAGAATTGGGTTTCTTAGTTACATGACTAAGATTTTTTCTACCATTATAACAATAAAAACATAATCGTGAAACTTTTGTTGAGCTATAAGGTGGGAGGACTACACCTCGAAACAGATTGATAGTATTTACTTATATTATTATTATTATCTCAAAAAATGGTTTAATTTTTTTTTTGTACATGAAATTATACACAGATGTTTGTCTTATTTCCTTTTATGCATGATTAACAGTTTATATAATACTCAATTTAACTGTGCGTTACCATTTTCATTTGATTCTCGAAACACAAAAAAAAGCGAGGACAAATCACTCTAAAATAGGATGATTAAATCAAAATTAGCCATCAAATCTCTGTTTAAAAAACTAAAAACTTAAACTTATATATACGTATACGCATGATTAAAAAAATTTCATAGTCAAACAGGAATACAAAGTAAAATAAACCAGAGACTACATTCAATTATTAGCCAAACCGAAATAGTATATTTTATTATTAAACTAATATATAATATATTATATCACAGCACAACGTGTGGGAATAATACTAGTGTAAAGAAATCCCCCTCAAATAAGTGAAACACCAGTAATGTCTTCCCAATCCTCAATTCCAAAGAATCTATTCCATTTCGCTTCTCTCTCACACCTAGCCTTTAAATCAATTACTTAAAATATGACATCAATTATCAATCCATCTCTTTCTACAACATAGAAAAAATAAACTGTTATGAAAGAAATTTGATTTCTTAAGGATGATTTTTTTTATTTTTCTGTTGTAGATATTGGTTTATGATTTATGTAAACTCGAGCATAAGTTAGCCGTTATAAATTAAATGTTGTAAATTTAGGCATAAATTTATGTGTAATAACTTACTTTCTGTCCTTTCAATCGATTTTTTATTCTTCTAATTTTTTTTATTCTTTTAAGAATGATTCGTATTTTTTATTTAATTAATTTAAAAATACAGGCGACACCTGGGCATTTGCCCGAGGTAAACATCTAGTTAAAAATTAAAATTCAAATTGAACAATAATTTTAAGATGTATGGCACATTTTTCATTCATTCCATCCATTTTAGGCTTTAATTTGACAAAATAAACAAACTTTATGGTTCACGTTTCTTCCTATAATAAGTGACACAATAACAAAAGTGGTCTTTTAAGAAAGAATAAATAAGAAGATGGAAGTTTGACAGCTATGTCTATGACACATTAAGAAAAGTGATATTCTAAAGATTTATTCTAAAAAAAAAAAAAGAAAAAAAATATCTTCTAAAACAGAGAAAGATAAAGAGGAAGATGAAAGTTTAATAAAAAATGGCAATTTCGTGCTCTCCCGGAAACATCTTACAAACACCCCACAAACGGTCTTGAAACATAAACATATTCTTTTGTTTATTACCTTCATTCCTACTAGATGCTTGTCCCGGGCGAATGCCCAGGTGTCGCCTATATTTTTAAATTGATTAAATAAAAAATATGAATCATTTTTAAAAGAATAAAAAAATTAGAAGAATAAAAAATCGATTAAAAGGACAGAAAGTGAGCTATTACACATAAATCTATACCCATATTTACAACATTTAATTTATAACAGTTAACTTATGCCCGGATTTACATAAATCATAAATCAATATCTACAATAGAAGAATAAAAAAAAATCATCCTTAAAAAATCAAATTTCTTTCATGACAGTGTATTTTTTCTCTGTTGTAGAAAGAGATGGATTGATAATTGATGTCAAATTTTAAGTAATTGATTTAAAGGCCCGGGTGTGAGAGAGGAGCGGAATGGAAGAGATTATTTGAAATTAGGGATTGGGAAGACGTTACTGGTGTTTCACTTGATTTAAGGGGATTTCCTTACATTTGATTTTAGCAACTAAATATTGTTGTTTCAAAAGATTAGTATATAGCTACAATTAAGATATTTTTATGTAGCAATAATGAAGGGATTTACGTATTTATCTATTCTATCTTTTTTTTTCTGATTAGTTAAAGTGTCACGTGTCAAAAATGATTTTGTACTGAAAATGTCTTTTGGCGAGAAAATTTTCATTGTGGTGCTCACATGTGTCCTTTTTGTTTGTTACTTTAATTAAGTACTATAGACTTATTAAAAATTATAGACATAATTTTTTAGTTATTTTTTATAAGATATTTTATCTTTTCAAGAAAATACTTATATTATTGCATATTTGCATAAAGTTTTTTCATCATTTATCCCCAACTAACTATATTCACAGTTTGTTTAAACCATAGTCATTACAAGTCTTTATAAATAGGAATGGAGGTACTAGAATGGATAAAAACGTTTGGTGTTCTTATTAAGTAAAAATTTGCCTCAGACGATAAATGGAGTAATATTTAACACGTCTTCCATACCTTACTAAATATTATACTCTCATAATTTTACAATTGTAACATTTGAAGACTTGTAATATTCATCTTTAGAAAACTAAATTCAAGATAAAACAATATGAACACGATCATATATATATATATATAGAATTATTTGATCATAGAAATATGAGAGAATATGCATGCTATTCTTTTTTATTTTTACAAGTTGGAAAAATTAACTTGACTACACTTCCTATGCCACAAAAAGAATACCTAAAATCACATGAGACACATTTGTTTGCGGCACAAACTAATAGGTAGACTGATGAAAATCATGAGAGCACGAGTAAATTAGGTGACTTTTGAGAGATATTATTATTGTAGTGCTATGAATTATGATAACGTAATTTTCTCACGCGTAAATCACAAAGAAAATGCCTGCGGCGGAGGCTGCCCCAGTTGCCAAATAAAAGACCCACGCTTAAATCGTGGGATGCGTAAATATATTCACAAGTTGAATCGGGAAATACCATCCCACTTTCCACCAGCATCCCCCCTCCTCCTCCTTTATCAACAAGAATCATGTCACTATTTCTTTTCTTTTTTCTTTTTTTCTTCTTTCTCTTGTGCATGATTATTAGCTTACCACGTTAATTAGCTCATTGATCATAGTGTATAGAGAAACTAAATTAGCCTCTATTTTTGTCTTTTTAACTTATTACCTGTCACAGTATCCAGTTAACAAATATACTAGTAAAAGGATAAGAAGGATAAAGAATAAGGATAATTATAAAGAAAACTAGATGTTTGGCCCAGGCATCTACTTTAATTTTGTGTTAATAGATAAATGAATTTTTGATTTAGAAAAAATAAAATAGCTACACATTTATTGTTTTCCTTTTTTTAGCCAAAAATAATATAAAAATAAAAAATCATCTACAAAAGGAGAAAAAATATTGAAAAGTACACCGATGCAAAAATCATACAAAAGAATGTGGAGTAATAAAAGGGATAATTTTATGGACAAATTTAAATCCTATCTTAATTTGATTGATAAGTGAAAAGTGTTATGAGTTAAAATTGTGTAGCTATTTTTGTAAACTAGCTTTTGTTTTTCTGGATAAGAAGTTTTTTTTTTCTTTTAAAAAGGGATGACGCGTGACAGAATGGTTAAAGCAATATGGTGCATTTGGAGCCAAAATTTTTTAATAAGAAATTGCCACATCAATATCCTGTATTCTGCTTTAATAGGGTAAAAGGGATAATCCACATCATTTGGTTAAATAATTTGGATTAAAAATTACCAGTTATCACGCAGAGTTTTGTTGAACAACTAAACTAGTAAACCCCCTAGGCCCCTACAATTAAAATTGAATAATAATGGGTACAAGTAAAAATTACAAGGAAATAATCTCACCCATCCATTTTAAAAACTTTCCATACGGTCAGCATTCAAGGTTAATGTCTAATTTAAATATTTGACCCATCATTCCTTGTAAATTTTTCTTGTCATTTTTTTTCCTATACGTATCACTATTCATTAAAATTTATGATAACCCCCCATCGTTCCTTGATTACTATTTCAGATCTCAAGATGATTTCCAAGCAAAGGCAATTGATAATTTTTACAAAATCTCCAAAGTATTTATTAATAATCATTTTTTCGAGTAATTTATTAGTGAATGTAAGTATTTCCTTCAAATAAAAACAAAAAGAAAGAAGAAAATATGATGAACACCAAAGATGATGATATTGTAGCACATTCAAAATTTATGAATCGTATAAACGGAAAAAAAAGAAAAGAGCCTGTTATTTGTCACAACAATTTCATGGCTCAAGTTATTAAAAATTAAAAGCAGAGTCCTCCACGGTTATTGCCAACTATTGACCAGGTTATCAAAAATAAATAAATAAATGGTAATGTGTTTTCTTTTTAAGTTTTGACTGGGAATACCGGAATACCAAAAAAAAGTCCACTGGACTAACTACTAACCCACTCGAGGTTTAACTACAGTTAAGGCCGCCGAACAGCAATTAGTTAGGACTTGACACAAAGGGAAAAAAGAGAAAAGAAAAAGAATAATTAAAAAAAGAAAGAAAAAGAAAGAAGAATTCCAACCCTAAAGCCTAGAGCTGATTTAAGCTGACAAACCCAAAAAAAAAAAAAAAAAAACCGAATAGAAACGGAGTCCAACCTCCTAAAGGAAAACTCATATAAATAGGGCCACCTCACTGTTCGTCGTTTCCAATGTCGCATGCTATTCTTTAGAAACTGCAGTAAAACTCTGTGCTTCGGTGTGATAGTGGTGGCAGGTCGAGGGAGAAGAAGACTTTTGTCTTCTCGCCTTTCAAGCCTCTATCATGGTAAATAATTCTGATCCCTCTTCCTTTTTAAAAGTTTGTTTTTTGTTTGTTTATCGTGAATTCTGAAACGTTTTTGTTTTCTACTGTCCGTTCTTTTTCTCGATGTTGTTAAACTGTTGCATAGAGAAATCCCCAATTGATTCGGGTTTATTTTAACTATTCTTATTTTCTGGCTTTAAAAGATTGAATTGAGACCTAAAAACTGAACTGTTTGTAAAATTGAAAATTGAAAATTGGGTTTGGGAAGAGCTCTGCTCTTTTGATTGTCCCATAACTTTTGTGAGATTAGTTCGTCTGGAAAATTGAAAATTTGGCATTTTGGTCCTTTAACTACTACTATTCCAAGGAAAGGAAAATGTGTCCTGGTTAAGCTTTCCTTTTATTTTTTATTTTTTTCCTTTTTGTCTTTGTTTGAATTGGCACTTGTAAAATCTGAATTGAGAATGAGATTGACAATTCATTGACACCCTGAAGTACTTTGCGTTATTGTCCGGGTACTTCATGCACTTTTAACACTGAATAATTAGAGGTGTGATAAATTTGGTCTCCTACCTTAATGCACTTTGTTTTATTTGCTCTAATCATTTAACTATAAGCTTAGTATGCTATCATATTGCTGAGAGTTTTAAAGAAATTATTGTTTTTATAATAGAAGGTTCCTAATATTGGGGCCGACGATGGGGACACGGAGCCGTTTGTGGAAGTTGATCCAACTGGTCGATATGGCCGGTACAATGAATTACTTGGATCAGGCTCCGTGAAGAAGGTGTATAGAGCATTTGATCAAGAAGAGGGAATAGAAGTGGCTTGGAACCAAGTGAAATTGCAGAAATTTTGTGATGATAAAGTCATGATTGAGAGACTATATTCAGAGGTTAGGTTGCTTAGGTCTCTGAGGAATAAAAACATCATAGAATTGTACTCTGTTTGGCAAGATAAGGAAAGGAATATTTTGAATTTCATCACTGAAGTTTGTACTTCTGGAAATTTGAGGGAATACAGGAAAAAGCATAAGCATGTCTCCATTAAAGCATTGAAGAAATGGTCAAGGCAAATTCTCAAAGGCTTGGAGTATTTACATAATCATGATCCATGCATCATTCATAGGGATCTAAATTGCAGCAATGTGTTCATCAATGGCAACATTGGGCAGGTATCCTCTATCTCTCTCCTATATGTGACATTCATTTGTTATTTGGGAATAAGTGGAATAGTATATTTGGTGTCACTATTACTACTGTCGCTTTGATTTGTAATCTATGACCTTCCTGTCTATGACTAAAGATTTTTTTTTTTTCATAAATTCAAAGTAAGTAGGATAAGGTTGTACTAAATGATTGTTTCTTTGTAAGTTTACATGGTTAGGGGCTAAAGAAAGACACTCAATTTATTCAATTTATGTGAGAACTTCTTGAATTGCTAAAGAAAGACACTCAAATATGATCTTTTTTCCATAACCAAACAGGTCAAGATTGGCGATTTGGGCTTGGCTGCTATAGTTGGAAAGAGCCATTGTGCCCGTACAATGGTTGGCACTCCAGAATTCATGGCGCCGGAGTTGTATGACGAAGATTACACCGAGTTGATTGACATATATTCTTTTGGAATGTGTGTTCTTGAGATGGTAACTCTTGAATTGCCCTATAGCGAGTGTGATAATGTTGCAAAAATATACAAAAAAGTGACAATGGGGATTAGACCTCAAGCGATGAACAAGGTAAAGGACCCCGACGTGAAGACTTTCATTGAGAAGTGTCTAGCACAACCGAGAGTTCGACCTTCTGCCTCTGATCTTCTCAAGGACCCATTCTTTGATGGTATCAGCGACGATGATGATGACGAAAATGCCGATAGTAACTGTTGTTGTGACCACCGGTAATTGTAAATGTTGGTTTTGTTAAATTCAGATACTTTGTTGATTTTTCTTCCTTCTCTTGCTGGTGATTTTAGAGGAGTATGAGGAGATTTTAGATTTGGATTTCTTCCGCCACATTTTAAATGAATTGCTTGTTTCATTGTAGATTGATTAATCTATTTGTTACTCAGTTTTTTCCTCATCTTCCTTCATTTTCTGACATGGTCTGCCACATTTTTAATGAATTGCTTGTTTCATTGTAGATTGATTAATCTATTTGTTACTCAGTTTTTTCCTCTATCTTCCTTCATTTTCTGACATGGTCCGATTCCACTGTTTGGTGGGATGGTAACAAATGTTTGTTCTTGTTGTCCAAGATCACCAAATGTACTATTATCGCTCTGTTCAACGCGAATTAGGTGCTGAGCATAAGTTTGACTTTTGTATTAAAATTTCAACTTAATCCACCCAACTTGTTATATAGTCTAGTTGGGAAAAGAATATACGACTAACAAATACTAGTATATGATATAGACCAGATCATGATATGGACTATGAATAAGTTCAATATAAAAAAGAACAATGAATATTGGCCCGGATGAGTGAAATAAAATTTGCATTCCTATTGATGATGAAGTTGATATTTACTTCCAGAGTTTGGCCTTTTCAAAAAAAAAATAAAAAATAAATCCGAGTATTGCTTTCTCGATTCCGTTTTTAATACATTTTTAATGTAATTTTTTAGCACTTTCGATTTTCAAAAGCCAAAATCATCAAATTAACCTACAATATTCATATACAATTAAAAACTTATGCAATAGTTTCTCCATTGGATAGACTCATCTTTAAATGAAAAAAAAAAAAGGAACTTATGTTTTTCATTAGGTCAATTGTGATGCAAAACAAGATTACGGTTGATCGCTTGATCTTATATTGTGAGGGTAACACAGTTCTGATTAGAAAATTGAAATACATGAAAATACGTTACATTTGAATTGATGATTAATGTTTATTGATAATTTAACATACCAAAAAAAAAAAAAAGGAGTAGAAAAGATAAAGAAAACATAAAAGGGGTGTTATTTTTGGGTTGGAGCGGTGGCAAGGGGGAAAGCAGGAAACAAACGATCCTTCCACTTTTTGTAGTTTAAAAAATGTTGTTTCGTGAAAGGGAATACAGACAGCTTGCCGATGAGATATTATAACTTGGATTTGTTGTCACTTTCATGATTGAAATGTTCGTTGAGGAAAAATGGTCGTCATTATTTTGTTTTTCCAGCTTTCCGCTACTTTTTTTTGTTCTTCTTTTTCTCGAAAATATATTAGCTTTCAGTTTCACATTCGAATGCAAAACTATTTCATGTCTCAACAAAATGGAAAAGAAATAAATAAAAGTAAAACTATTAGGCGGTTCATAACAAAGTCAAACCAAACTTCGCCAAAAATTTGAACATAATAGAAAAGGAAAAACCAGTTCGTGATTGATTACAACGTTAAACTGTTTCTATGTCAGAAAATTACATGTTGCCTTCGGAATTTTCCACAAGTAATTGTCATTTTTCTTGACTAGTCACCAAGATTTTGTCGAATAATAACATTTTTTTTTTAAAAAAAAGAAATTCCTATGCCTATATTCAATTATAGTAGCTTGCACTTTGGTCTTTTTCAATTACTCCCTCCGTCCCAAAAAAATAGTCCAGTTTAAATTTTAAAATTTGTACTAAAAACAGTACAAATATAAAAACTCAACGTGGATTTTTTTTGTGATTTCTGATTTTTGTGAACAGAATCATTGGTTTAGGGAAGAAGCTGATAGAATGGCTGAGGTGTGTGGAGCACGAGCTAATTTTAAAAAATGACATTGGTAAGAATACTTTTTCTAACGGTCATGACTCATGAACAGACGTAATTTCGTATGAATAGAGATAAAGAAAGAAAATTAATTAACAAAAAATTAAACACAAAAGAAAAAGGACAGAGAATCGACATGTGTGACTCACAGGAGCCAGATTTTGTGTTTGAGGGCCCGTTCCGCATCCAAGAAGAAAGAGCAGCATAGCAGGCTGAGGCCGCGGCGCCCAGACTTTATTGGATTCGCCAACCATACGTTTCTGTTCCCTGAATTTTCTTTATTCTGTAGTACTACTACTACATATGGCCCTAATTGAGGTTGTATATGTCATTTTCATATTTTATTATACTGTTACTACTAAATAGATTTGGAGTCGAGGAAATGTACAGGTACAAAATTGTTTATTAAGGGAATCTACTTTCGTTCCACATAAATAATTGATTTTATAAACAATTCAAGATCATATTGTTTTTAGTGTAATTTATAATTTATTTCAATTTAAACTATGGAGTACATTTTTTCTGCTTTGACATCATGGTTGATTAGTAAACATTATATTTGAGTGTAAAAAAATTTGATAATGTTTAAAGATTCGTCAAGAAGTTACAATTTTCTCTGACACCATTTTTTTAAAAAAAACGATAATCATATATAAAGAAAAAAAAAACATGTATAATCACAATATGTTGGGCTACAACAACCTACGATTGAGATATTACAATTTGCCTTACACGCTACGCCTAGCTAGAGAAGAAGAGATGTACAATTCCAACTCTGTGTTCAATCTTAGGCTAAGTTAAATTGGCTAAATTACAACAACATTTCTAATTACAGAGTAAGAAAATTCCAACAGCTCAAGAAATACAAAAAGAATAATAATACACTTTACAAATGAAATCCAAGCGTAGCTCAAAAGGAACTAAAACTCCAGATCTAAATCGAAAGACCCGATTTATATGGCTAGAAGTCCCACCTCTATACTGATCCTTTATTTACAAAATCATTTGACCTCACATTCATCTTCAATTCCTTAAGAGAGTTATGGATTTTCTTCTTCTGAATCAAATCTGTTGAAAAGAGTCTGTCAAAAGTACATCTAAAGAAAAAAAAAAAAACAGCACTCCCAAAAAGAATGAACCAAAACTTCCATACAGAAGAGCAATACCTCATAAAGAGAAAACAAAACTTTCGCATACGGGAAGAGCAAAACCTCAGACTAGAAAGCAAAATATAAGATTTGAGCTCCCTATTAATGGTGGATGAGGGAGGAGGAAGAAAATTTTGAAAGGGGGCTTTTTTTAGAAGAAGGGAGAGCTACTCTCTCTCCAACACAAGTCCTTCTCAACTATTATTCGTCTTTTTTCTGACACCATTTCAGTTGAAAGAAAATTTCAATGCTAGAGTTGATTGTGAAAGGTTTTGGTAGTGATGAAACCCTATAGATTGCTAGGACTTTATAAAATTACATGTACAATAATTACAAGGGACTAAAACAATTCACCTTAAACATCTTACCTAATCACAAATGACATTAACATCCCAATTTTATTTCTATTTTTTTTAATTAGATACTCCCTCCGTCCCAAAATTATTGTCTAGTTTGAATTTTCATTTCTAATTCAAATTGTATTAGAAGTGAAATCTTAAACTGGACAATAATTTTGAGATAGGGAGAGTACATTGCTTTGCTTGTTTGATATTAATAAATATCGCTTTTGGAGAAAAATAAAAAATCAGGATTACAAATCTCCACAAGATACATCATTGTTCTTCAAAAGCCAAACTTACTAGTAGTATTAATTAAGCTTGTTGCATTATGAATACGACAGAATATAATTGTTGATTCTCGAAAAGACATGGATATATAACTAGTCTTGGCTCTTTTTAGTTGCGGTGAAAATGCAAATTTTGCGGCGACAGCTTGAGCCAACTTTTATAATTTTCCTCGTTGTCGTCGAACTACCCTGTCAAAGGGGCAAAACAATGGACAGTTGTGAAATCTGCTGTTTCACATGAACTTAATGAGCAAATTTAAGGAAACTGTCAAAGAATAGGAATAAATAATTATTTTGAAGTACTAGTTGAAGTTTTATTCTACAGTTTAATTGTGAAGTCAGTTTATATCATTGTCATCCTATATATTTTAATCAGTCGGCTAACTATGAATTTCGGTTATATGTAGTCGGTCCGACCATATGTTTTCTTTGAAAGAATTTTCGTAATAATGAAATAGGGAATCGAGTAAGCACAATCGCATTTCATAATTGACTGCTTGGTTGTTTTATAAGTTTTGAAATTTTTGGCAAAGTTTTACAAGTAAACTCGAGGGATTAGTGATTGAAAAATATTAGATAAGCTAATCTGGGTTGCAAGTTGCTAACATTTATATTTGATATTTTTTTTGGGTACAATAAAAATTGATACGATAGTTTTTTTTATTGAAAATATTTAACTCATCCTAAACATCATTCAACTTCTAGAAAACAAAACTATTCACACATTCATTGCGAGAATTCATAATTAGGTTAGGACGTATAGAAGGCTAGGGCGAGCACCTTTTTTTTTTTTTTTTTTTTTGACTTCAGGGCGAGCACTTTAATATGCATAATAATTAAATAAGAACAAAAAATATCTTAACTAAAATAACTTCAGAAGGGGAAAGAATATGTACATAATATGTAATGTGATGGCACTCATGATTTACAAACAGCATATTCTGACATTCTGGCAGTACTTAGTTACTGATGCTCTATTTGTCTGGTTTTTTCAGCACCTATTTTTCTTTTTTTTTTCATAAAATGTAAAAGGTATTAAATATAATCCTATTTCAAATTATGAAGACAAAAAAAAAAAAAGAAAAAAAAATCAAAGTAGGAAAATACCGCGAACTGAAGAAAGGAAGCCAAAAGAGTAAAAATTTCATGAGGGAGGCATATGTAGGTGAAAAGGGGTGGAAAAATCCAAAAAGCAGACAGGAAGAGTAGGGAAAAAAGCCGGCCAAATTCGGGTAATGTGGAGGTTGGGTTTTGGACATTCCATTTCTCAAACTGGGGATTTGAGTACTCCCACGCACTTTGCAAAATCCAAAATCCAAACCGAAACCGTGATACATATCTTTCCGTGAAAGACTACTACAGTTAAATGACTTAATGGCAGTCACATGATGGATGGATGGGTTCATTTCGTCCTCAACATACGTATGCAAAAAGGAACCAAACTCAGAAGTTACCAAATGACACTTTCAAGTTAAGAATACTACTACTACTACTAGGTAGTAGGAACACCTACGTTGGAGTAGTACACAACTTTTACTGCGGACAGGAGATTTGGGTAATACTCATTTCAACTTTTATGAATTTTATTTTATTTTATTTTTGCCCTTCCCTCTCAGAAATTATTCTTATGATTTT